GGATGGTGTGCATCGATTTAAATTTTTGGAAACTTGCAGGATTTCATTTATTGGTGTTGTTGTTGCACAATTTATGCCACAATACCACAGAAATTGATATTTAGTTCTCCCCCCTTTCAACCCACTCTCTTTTTTCCCATATTTTATGCTAAGTGGCTGTCATCAATTTAACTCGAAATTTATACAATTTCCCCACTCCCAATAAACAGAAAAGTTCCGAACCACATTAACAATTGTTTTGCCAATAAAAATATTCGAGTATTCGTATTTTATATCGGTATGAAAATAAAGCAGAATTATCCTTCTAACCACCACAAACGTTTTACACATAATCCTTATTTATATTCCTTTTCAACAACTATCATATGTCGTACACTCTCCGAAATGGGGGAGCAGGTCTGCAGGTGTTTGAAAATTTGTCCACTTTTAAGGATTCATGTAAAAACTATACAGGCGAATGGGTTGGATTTCCAATCACCCCATTATTGTAATCTTTAAATGAGTGTGGGTGTGGTTATGTTGGAGTGTGTGCATGTGTTTGTGTGTGAGGAAAGTGAAAACGATAGGATTAACTAAAAACAAACTTTAAACTTTGCGACATCGTGTGTGACCTTTAAAAAAAAAGTAAAAATGAAAACGAAAAATGTCACAGTGAACAGACTAAAAAGTAAAACTAAGCATACCCTGAGTCAGGGTAGAGAAGGGGAGGGGATTACATAGAATTTATGTGGGAAGGATATTTTAAATACTAAAATTATACTTAAAGGCCGTTAAAATATAAAAGAAGACCGCACAGAAAGAGCTGAAGGATCTAATATTCATATAAGGGCTGACGGGAGCAATTGAAGAGCTGAGGATCTTCTAGTCGTAGGAGTACTGCAAAAATCGTTCTCCATTGAAAAACTGAAGAGAAAGAGAGCTGAAGGGCCTTCTATACATGGCATAGAAGAACTGCAGGATTTTCTAGCCATAGAAGAACTGAAGGGTCTTCTAGCCATAGAAGAACAGAATTATATTCCAGATATAGAAGAGCTGAAGGGTATTTTAGTCATAGAAAAGGTGAAGGCTCTTCTAGGTATAGAAGTGCTACTGGGTCTTCTAGCCATGGAAGGGCTGTAGGGTCTTCTAGACATAGAAGAGTAGAAGGTCTTCTTCTAGCCATAGAAGAGCTGAAAGGTCTTCTAGCCATAAAAGAACAGAATGATATTCCAGCTATAGAAAAGCTGAAGGCTCTTCTAGGTATAGAAGAGCTAAACGGTCTTCTAGCCATGGATGGCCTGTAGGGTATTCTAGCCATGGCAGAGCTGCAGGGTCTTCTAGCCATAGAAGAGCTGAATGGTCTTCTCCCAGCCATTGAAAAGCTGAAGGGTCTTCTAGCCATAGAAGAGGTGGAGGGTCTTTTAGGCATAGAAAAACTGAAGGGTCTCCTAGCCATAGAAGAGTTGAAGGGTCTTCTAGTCATAGAAGAACAGAATGATATTCCAGCTATAGAAGAACTGACGGGTATTTTAGCCATAGAAAAGCTGAAGGCTCTTCTAGGTATAGAAGTGCTACTGGGCCTTCTAGCCATGGAAGGGCTGTAGGGTCTTCTAGCCATTGAAGAGCTAAAGGGTATTCTAGCCATAGAAGAGTTGAAGAAAAGCTGAAGGCTCTTCTAGGTATAGAAGTTCTACTGGGTCTTCTAGCCATAGGTCTGAAGGGTATTTTTTTAGAGCTGAAGGGTCTTCTAGCCATAGAAAAGCAAAAAGGTCGTCTAGCCATAGAAGATCTGAAGCATCTTCAAGCCATAGAAGAGCTAAAGTGTCTTCTAGCCATAAAAAACTAAATAGTCTTCTACGCATAGAAGAGCTCAAGGGTCTTCTAGCCATAGAAGGTCTGACACGTCTTCTATTAATAGAAGAGCCGAGGAGTTTTCTACCCAAACAAAAGCAGAAGGGTTTCCAGCCATAAAAGAACTGCAGAGTCTTCCAGTCAGAGGATAATTTAAAGGTCTTCTATGCTAAAAATTGCTGAAGGGTTATCTGGCTGAAGGGTCATCTATCCATAGAAAAGCGAAGGGTCTTCTGACTATAGACGATCCAAGAGGCTCCTGTGTATAGAAAAGCGGAAGAGTATTTTACCTATATAAGGACAGAAATGTAAACTAGCTATAGGAGAGCTAGATGGATTTCTATAGAAATTACTCCGGATCTCAAAGTTTGGAGAAACGGGTAGAATAATTGAAACTGATTTTTTTTAAAAAAGAAAAACCAACAAACCAATTTATTAATTCAATTTCTAAACTATTCTACACTTCTAATTTTCATCCACATCCTCTGAAATCTTCAAAGCATGAATATCTTCAGTTAAAGTTCGAGCCTGATCACCAGTACCACATTCCATAAAATTAGTGGTCTTAACCTCATCCATTGCCAATTCCATATCATTTACCGATTTCGATTTTTTCTTCTTGAAAACCGAATTCCAATAATTTGACAGAGAAGACTTCAGGGTAATTTTCGAGGCATTCGAATTTAAATCGATTTTTGATTCACTGTCTCGATTGGAGGCTAAGGACAAAAGGTATCAAAAATTATTCTAAATAAGGAAAACAATTTCCAACTCACAATGACGTTGCATTCCGCCCAAGCGTAACTTAAAGCGTTTATAATGTTGGCGCTTGGTGTCACTGCCGCCAGCAGCAGTCTCCTCCTCATCCTCATCGTCCGTATCATCATCATCTTCGTCATTATCATTTGCGGAAGCCGAAATTTTCTCTTCAATATAACCATCCGATTTACTTCGTAATTCCCCACCTCCTCCTCCTCCTGCACCACCTTCTGCGGTTTTCTTTGGTGAAATTCGAAAGAATCTCTTCAACGATGTTGTCTTAAATTTTCGTTCACTATCGTCTTGATCCTTTTCAAGATCTTTCAGGAAACGTTCTTGACGTTTTTCTTTTTCCAGATCGACAGCTTCTTCATCACGTCTATCTTTGACACCGCCCACCGCTAATGAAATCTCTTGAAGATACTTTGATCCACCACTACCCTCAGCTACTTCAGTGGTCATTTCCCTGATATTTTTGATGGAGGAAACAATTTTCGAAATATTTGAAGAAGAAATTATGTGTTGTCAAATTTGAAATGAAAATTATGGACTGCTTGATAGAGAATTATTATTGTATTAGAGTGGGACGGATATAATATAATTTACTGAACTAAGTAAAGCACTAATATAAATCGAAGACCCGACAGAGCTATATGGTAGAAAGACTCCTCCGTTCTTTTATAAATAGAAGTCCCTTAGTCCCTTCTATGACTAGAAGACCCTTCAGCTCTTCTATGGCTAGAAGACCCTTCAGCTCTTCTATGGCTAGAAGACCCTTCAGCTCTTCTATACCTAGAAGACTCTTCAGCTCTTCTATGGCTAGAAGGCCCTTCAGCCCTTCTATGGCTAGAAGACCCTTCAGCTCTTCTATGGCTAGAAGACCCTTCAGCTCTTCTACGGCTAGAAGACCCTTCAGCTCTTCTATGGCTAGAAGACCCTTCAGCTCTTCTATGGCTAGAAGACCCTTCAGCTCTTCTATGGCTAGAAGACCCTTCAGCTCTTCTATGGCTAGAAGACCCTTCAGCTCTTCTATGGCTAGAAGACCCTTCAGCTCTTCTATGGCTAGAAGACCCTTCAGCTCTTCTATGGCTAGAAGACCGTTCAGCTCTTCTATGGCTAGAAGACCGTTCAGCTCTTCTATGGCTAGAAGACCCTTCAGCTCTTCTATGGCTAGAAGACCCTTCAGCTTTGCTATGGATAGAAGACCCTTCAGCTCTTCTATGGCTTGAAGACCCTTCAGCTCTTCTATGTATAGAAGACCCTTCAGCTCTTCTATGTATAGAAGATACTTCAGCTCTTCTATGTATAGAAGACCCTACAGTTCTACTATGTGTAGAAGACCCTTCCGCTCTGCTATGGCTAGAAGATCCTTCAGCTCTACTATGGGTAGGAGACCCTTAAGTTCTACTATGGATAGCAGACCCTTCAGCTCTACTATGTATAGAACACACTTCAGCTCTACTAAGTATAGAACACTCTTCAGCTCTTCTATGTATGATTTTAAGCATTTTAAAGAGAATAAATAAAAACTTCTCTTTAAATATTTCACTCTCTTCCTTTGAGAGAAATCATATGTTTTCTAAGTTAACGGTATATTGAAACATGTTCTCTCCCTCCCTCTCTTGCAACAGCTGTTTCCTGCATTTCCTTTACTAACCGTTATGTTTACCAACAAATCTCCTGCTAAAAGCCGGTAATAAACAAACACTTGTTGATAATACAACAACTATTTTCAAATTCCCGAGAGTGAGAGAGAAAAATGTAAACAAAAACATTTAAAGAGAGCATGCGTGAAAATGAACAGCTGTACAAACAACTGTTGCTGTCATTGTTTTGAAATTACATCATGTGAGGGTGGAAGGACCATGTGTGACACGAAAGGGGGTGGAAATCATCATAACAGATTCTTAATCTGAACACCCCCAACAACACTCCCATCTTCCACCCCCTTAAAATAACTAAGAGTAAATACAGATTGCAACTGTAGAACAACTGGCAGTATTATATATTTGGTCATTGATAAGAGATTCACGGCAGGGTATAGACAATTTCGAAGTGAAGAAAAAAAATTGAAATCAGGTCAAGTGGGACAAGAATAGTGGAAAATATTTTCATAATGATTTTGGACAAAATAAAAAAGCAGACATCTAAATAAATAGAAAACATTTGAATTACCCTTTCGAATCCTTTAAACCCAGTGGAATTTTTGATGAAAATTTCAAAGTGAAAAAATTGCTACACAGCTGTTTCATGCGCAGTTTGCAGTGCCAAAATATAGCCGAACATAGTTATACATCCCAGATGAGCAGCTCCAGCAGATACACAATTTTCACAAAGTGAAAATTTTGTCATTCAATTATAAGAACAGTTTTCGTGTGGTCCAGTGTTTAGTGAAAATCCGTAAAAAATTGCAAATTTATTAAAGAAATTCACAACTTTTGAGGTAAGTTTTTGGAAATTATGAAAATTTGGGTTGCATTTTATATGGGGTATATGAAATTTTGTTGGAGAAAATGAATTTTGGCAGATTTTGGGGGAATTTAAAATTTGGCTTGAAAGTAGTCATTGGATGTTGAAGAAAATAAGCTGTTATATAAGAAATAAGATGAAAATTTAAGGATTTCCGAATATTTTGATGGATATTTTGATTTATTCTAATGAGAAAATCTAAACTTATTGGATTTTAATAAAAAATTATACAATTTTAATGGATTCCTGGCCCATAGTGCGGTGTATCGAATTGCAGTCTTCCAATTCAAGCTTGTAGGACTCATAGAGTTATGTATATGGCGGTTTTAAGGAAACTTCGAGATGGATGTATCCAGCCTTCGAAAATGCAAAATTTCAACTTTCAATCTAAGATCGCCAAAATATGGAAAATTAAGTGGGGGCCTTTATATGGGAGCTATGTCAAAACATGAACCTATAATGATCATTTTCATCGGCCAGAAGCCCTTCAGGCTTCTCTGGATAGCACTTCTATGGCTAGAAGACCCTTCAAAGAACAGAGCTGAAGGCTCTATGCAGTTGTAGCATAAAAATTTTAACAACTACGGTTTGAAAGATGCGGCTAGAACCTTCAAATTCCCGGAGCCTTCTCATGGCGACAATGTCAGAACATGGACCCATAATGATAATCTTCAACGGCTATGGCTAGAAGACCATTCAGACTTCTAAGGATAGAATACCAGTTTAGCACTTCGATGGCTGGAAGACCCTTTAGTTCTTCTAAGGCTAGAAGACCGTTTATGCTCATATATACTTCAACTCTTCTGTATATCGAAGACCCCCACATCTTCTAATCCTAAATCCTTATCCTTTAAAACTGGCAAGAAGAAGACCCTTCATCTATTATATATGTAGAAACCCACTCAGCTCTTCTATGGCTAGCTTTTATCTATTCCATGAACACAGGACTCTTCAGATCAGCCATAACTAGGAGGTGGGCATTTTATGAGAATTTTTAAACTGGATCCGTTATTAATAATTTCCGGCATGAATTACGAAATTACAGCAACTACCACTATAAGTATGTGAATAGTATCTTCAGTATCTTCGAAAATGTGGCGGAGCCTTCACAGATATCATTTTTTATCATTAAAGACCTTTTTGCAATGCCAGAAAAATATGATAATCGCTTAGTGCCAAATCCGCACTGTATGTCGGATTCATTAAGACTTCCCAACCAAGCTCCCGAAGTTTCTAGAGAGTCACTCTAGATGTGTGTGGCCTAGCGTTGTCCTGGTGAACCTGACACCTCTACTGTTGGCCAATTCTGGCCAAGTTGACATTAGAGATCAGAATTTAGTGTTAGGCCATACGGAAGCAACTCATAATAAATAATCCCCTTCCAGTCCCACCAAATGCATAGCAGAACCTTCCTGGCCGTTAGTCCTGGTTTGGCCACCGTTTGAGGTGCTTCACCGCTCTTTGACCACGATTGTTTTCGCACAGGGTTATCGTATGTGATCCATTTCTCATCTCCAGTCACCATCGGTTTAAGAAATGGGTCTATCTCAATTCGTTTGGCCATGGCTTCGCAGATAGAAATTCGGTTTTTATACCCTTCACCACACTGTGGTACAGGGTATTGTCTTTGTGCATATGTTTGTAACAGGCAAAAGGAAACGAGATAGACACATGATTCATTTTGAGAATATGCATAGAATGACATTCTAAGTCGATTTATGCATGTCCGTCCGTCCGTCTGTTGATGTTAAATTGTAAACAAAGTACAGGTCGCAATTTTGCTTCGAATTGGATGAAATTTGGCACAGCTCATTTGTTTGGCCCAAGGACGAACCCTATTGAAATTGGGAAAAATCGGTTCAGATTTAGATATAGCTCCCATATACATTTTCGTCCGATTTAAGGTAAATGGTGTACCAAAGTCCCTATATATCTCTCGATTTGCACGAAATTTGGCACAGCGTAATGAATAAGGTCTAGAACGACGTCTGCCAAGTTTCGTTTTAATCGGTTCATATTTAGATATAGCTCCCATATATATCTTCGTCCGATTTAAGGTAAATTGTGTACCAAAGTCCCTATATATCTTTCAATTTGCACGAAATTGGGCATAGCGTACTAAATTGCGTACTGAATGATGTGTGCAAAGTTTCGTGAAAATCGGTTCAAATTTAGATATAGCTCCCATATACATTTTCGTCCGATTTAAGGTAAATTGTGTACCAAAGTCCCTATATATCTTTCGATTTGCACGAAATTTGGCACAGCGTAATGAATAAGGTCTAGAATGACGTCTGCCAAGTTTCGTTTTAATCGGTTCAGATTTAGATATAGCTCCCATATATATCTTCGTCCGATTTAAGGTAAATTGTGTACCAAAGACCCTATATATCTTTCAATTTGCACGAAATTGGGCATAGCGTACTAAATTGCGTACTGAATGATGTGTGCAAAGTTTCGTGAAAATCGGTTCAAATTTAGATATAGCTCCCATATATAGTTTCGTCCGATTTAAGGTAAATTGTGTACCAAAGTCCCTATATATCTCTCGATTTGCACGAAATTTGGCACAGCGTAATAAATAAGGTCTAGAATGACGTCTGCCAAGTTCCGTTTTAATCGGTTCAGATTAAGATATAGCTCCCATATATATTTTCGTCCGATTTAAGGTAAATTGTGTACCAAAGTCCCTATATATCTTTCAATTTGCACGAAATTGGGCATAGCGTACTAAATTTCGTACTGAATGATGTGTGCAAAGTTTCGTGAAAATCGGTTCAGATTTAGATATAGCTTCCATATATATTTTCATCCGATTTTAGGTAATTGGTGCAGCAAAGTCTCTGAAAATCATTCGATTTTCACGAAATTGGTCACAGCGTACTGAATTAAGGCTAGAATGACGTCTGCTAAGTTTCGTGAAAATCGGTTCTGATTTAAATATAGCTCCCATATATATTTTCGTCCGATTTAATGTAATTGGTACACCAAAGTCCCTATATATCTTTGATTTGGTATAGGGTACTGAATGAAGTCTATTGTTGCGAAGCTTCGTGAAAATATCCATAGCTAGGCCGATTGACACAACTTACTGAATTAATATAAATTAGTCTCTGACAAGTTTCCCTGAAATCGGTACAGATATAGATATATAACAAACACGCCTCGTCTGTTAGGATACATATGTAGAACATACCCAAAGTGGTGAAGGGTATCATATTGTCGGCCCTGTCCGACTTTACTACTTTCCTTACTGGTTTTTCCTGCTAATTGGTGTGGCACCCAAACATCGAGCTTCTTTTTGAATCCAGCTTTATGTAAGTAGTATAAAAAAGTTTTATGGTAGATTTTTAGCTCCTGAGCGATGTTACGACTGCTAACATGCCGGTCAACTTCGATCGTGTCTCCGATTTTATCGACATTTTCTGCCAAAAAAAATAATAGATTTCTTTTTACCCAACCTAATTTTGGGATGTAGCGTTAAGCGATTGTCCTGAAAAGTGACCCAATATTGATAATATTAGTTAGGGAGATTTCCTACACAAAATATACACCGTAAACTAATATTTTTTTTATAAGAGACCTATATTAGATCTACAATTCGAAATCTGAGACGATTTTATAAAGGCCGGCAATATCGAATATTTTCTGGTGGAACAAATGTCAAGTATTTCACAAGATGTATTATCTTTTGAACGACGTTCTTCGACCCAACATTCTTTGGACGAAATGAGTTTCAGATTCAAACTTTTTTCTGTTACTCATCTCGGGAGCATAAGACTTCAAAGAATCTCATCATACTGATTGTAAACATTTCGTTAATCATTTCATTGCTTTTATCCAACTAAATGGATGATTGGTCTCCTGTTGCCTGCCCTAGATGACGGGTTTGCCATCTATCGTTGCCTAGAAACAACGCCTTTTTGAATTGTGTGCAGCTGTTAGGGCCCTTGCTTATTTAATGTTGCCATTTTCTTCTGAGTGGCGCTATCTCCTGACATTGCTATGTTGATGATGTTGTTGGTTATTATAATGCCTGGGGCTTCGGAGGCACTTCATGTGGAGAGGGCACAGGCCTCTGCTTACAAATATTCAAAAATCACTTTGAAAGAATTTGTCCCCCATCGCTGAAATTCGAATCGATTTGTAATATGGCGCACTGCGTACGGCACTGCGGAACCCCTTTTGGTACCAACTCCACATATAAATGCTGACAAGATTGACAAGTTTTGTGAGCTTAGAACTCTAAGAAGACTAGTTAGAAACCAAAAATTCTCACTGACCTATGCAGAATCTCAATAAATTTTAAAAATTTCAAAAATGTAGGAAATTTAAACCGCATTCTTTAGTTTAACCCTTTGAGCCACGAATTTTTTTCCGTAATCATAGAACAATTTTCTGTTCACAGATTTAATGCAACTATCCTAGATAGGATATGGACAAAATTTGACATCGCTACATCCTTGATTTCGGGAGATACAGTACTTTCTTTCTGATAAATAAAAGCCCAATATCAAGAAAACCAAATGCAAAATCGACGAAAAAATTATTTTATAGTATTCTCTATATCATATTTTACAAGATTTAAAAATAATTCTCATGACAGAATTTGTACATTTCGAATACGAAGCGATTTAAATAATTTGGACTGTATACACAAATTAGTACTGTACACATTTTTGCCCTCTTCACTATATTAAAAAGCTTATAACTTTACGAAAAATTTGATTTTTTTAGATTTTTCTTGTGATATGTATCGTCCATAATCACGACTTGACATATGAAATCCAAAGAATATATATCTACTACAGCATTTTAAATATAAGCTCTAAAACATTTTGTTGCCTGTGGGCAACATTGGGCCACAAAGGGTTTTTTTTTTGTGAGTTTAGAACTCAAACAGAATATTGGTAAACTAGTTGACCCTGATCACTGATCTAATTAACATTTTAATAAATTGAGAAATATTTAAGTGAGATAAAAATTTAAATTAGAACATACTGATCTAGAAAATCTCTTAAGAACTACTAAGGCAATTGGGCGCCAATGGCTACCTGCCAAAAAATGATTATAAAAGCTCCATAGATATTCTTTAAAAAACAACATTGATAAATTAGAATATAATACCGAAATTGACGGACTGGACCTATACAACTACTGAACTTTCAGTTTCTGCAAATCTATATTCTGAGTGTGGGTAATATTACGCGTTGCCGGTTAGAGATCAACAGCTTCTCTTCCTTTCCTTTATCAGATTTCCTAATAATGTTTCCCGGAGTTTACTTTACAAATTAAAATGTTGTTTTTTTAAAGAAAAAATTGGTTAATATGACCTGCTAACCTGTTCATTATCATGCTAGCCATTCGAAATAGAGGGTCAGATAACCTTCCCCTTTGAAAATTAATGATGTTCGCCTTATAATTGTGGCGACTTCAGCGACTAGAAAAGCAAACAAAAATAAAGTTTTCGTTCCACTTCATCCATTTTAAAATACGCCGATCATTACCAAAAACAAAAGGTGTCTACTTTGGTCCTACAAAGACAACTTTAAAATAATTGGGCGCCATTCAGAATTATATGTTTAATGGGCTATAGAACTAGTCCATTAACTAGATAATTCTGATGAACTAGAAAACTATACTAAAATTGGCAATCAAGGAACTGCTAAACATTTCTGATAACTGTGAATTAGTACGCTAGCTTGAAACAAAGCCTAAATAAAATAGGCAAAATCTGACCTGAGGAAGCAGTCTGAGAACTGAGAAAATTATTAATCTTATACACAAATGTTAGGAAAGCGCGGGACTTGTTCTACTTATACATTTAGTACCTTAAATTTCTCAGCAATCTTTTCACTTTCTCTTATTAAACGCCGTTTTACCCTCAACCATAGCTGGTACTTCAATCTTATATAATATTCGTAGGGGATGATAGATACCAATCAACGGCTCTGATTGGCTTTAACATGGCGAAGTCCAGGCTTATCATGGTCCCTCTTTCATCTCAATTGTGGACACTGACCTCCCCGCGGTGACACCTGGGAAGCTATTCTCATCACCCGATGTAATAGTGAGCTAATATGTGCCGCGAGTTCACCCATAAGAACTATAAAAAAATGGGTTGAGGCGTCGGGTTAGTTGCCCACTCTCGGTAAACCCAACCTACTATGAAAAAGCTAAGAAAAAGAAAACCAAACCTCCCTAATGTTGACGACCCCCGCAAACGTATAAAGGACCACAAAATGCGAATCTGCACTTGGAATGTGCGCACGTTGTACAGAACAGGCGCAGCCGATATTATTGCCTTACAGGAAATGCGATGGAAAGGGACAGGCGTAAGTAAATCAGACGATTACGCCCTGTATTATAGCTGCCATGAAACGAGACATGCATTTGGCTGCGGATTTATGGTTAACAGGAGAATAAAAGACCTTGTCTCCAGATTCACTCCAGAAGATGAGCGAATTGCTATAATCCGTATAAAAGTGAAGTTATTTTACATCAGTCTAATTTGCGCCCATGCTCCGACCGAAGATAAAGATGAACAGACCAAAGACATATTTTACGAGCGCCTAGAAACAGGATATGACCGTTGCCCTGACATGACATTAAAATTCTGCTAGGAGATTTTAATGCAAAAATCGGAAGGGAAAATATCTTTGGCCCCACCGTCGGAAAATTCAGCCTTCATGAAGAAACATCTGACAACGGCATGAGGTTGATTGACTACGCGGCAGCAAAAACATGGTAGTTAGCAGCACCAGATTCAAGCATCTCGATATACACAAGGCCACCTGGATCTCTCCTGATCAAGCAACGAGAGATCAAATTGATCATGTTGTGATAGATGGAAGGCATTCATCCAGTGTTTTAGACGTCCGATCGATCCGAGGAGCGAATACCGATTCGGACCATTACATCGTGGCAGCCAAGGAACGCACCCGTCTTAATGTTGCACCAAAGGTGCGATGTAATACAGCACGGAAACTCGACGTCGAAAAGCTGCAAACACAACGGGTAGCCGAGGCCTACTCCGCTCAACTTACCCATCTCCTTGAAGAAAGCATTTATTGTCCCGATAATAGTATAGAAGCACTATGACAAAGAATTGCCCACTCCCTACAAACTGCAGCAAAAGGAACACTTGGGTACCAAAAACCACCGCCAAGAAACCCATGGTACGATCAGGAGTGTCGTAATGCTACTGATGTGAAAATCTCAGCGTATAGGGCAAGCCTGCAGACAATAGCAACACGCAACGTGATGGAGGATTATCGGGAGAAAAGGAGGATTATCGGGAGAAACATGTTTTCAGAAAAAAGAAGAAAGAAAAACGTGAGCGTGAGCAAATCGAGATGTACAGGAGTCAGAATGAAGTCCGGAAATTTTACCAACGAGTAAAACACCAAACCGAAGGCTTTGGTGCAGGCACATCCTCCCGTAGAGATGAAGAAGGAAACCTGGTGACAGATACAGACAGCGTGTTGAGGATCTGGAAGGAGCATTTCGAAAAGCTTCTAGTATCAAATAGTGGCGATGAAGAAGATTCCCCAGAACCAATAAGAGATGATGGTATAGAGTGAATACCACCTAGTCAAGATGAGGTCATAAAAGCAATTAATCGGCTCCAGAACAACAAAGCAGCAGGAGTCGATGGGTTAGCAGCCGAACTATTCAAGACTGTTGGCCAGATGCTGGTCAGGAGCATGCACCAGCTGATTAGCACAATTTGGCTAGATGAATGCATGCCCAATGATTGGAACCTCAGCATCCTGTGTCCCGTGGAACGATGATAGTTGGGAGTAGGTACAATGGTCGTCTACGACTATTTAACTATAATCTGGAACGTCTAAGACGATTTAAGTATGATCGGGAACATGTTAGTAGTAGATATTACTAAGATGTCGTACAAACTACTATGTCTAACTACGCACAGTAAACCGAAGTCTCTATGGGGAACAGTAAACCGAAATCTCTGTGGGGAACAGTAATCCGAAGCCTCTGTGCGTATGTTTTCATGTAGCTGCCACATTGGGTAGCCGCCAAATAAAATTGCCAAAAAGAAATTGCGTTTTGCAATGGACATCCACAAAACGAAATAGCAAGCCTGTGCAATGGCAATCCGCCTTTAGTGGATGAAACTGAAATACTTATGTTTGCGGTGCAACAACGTGAATGAGAATTATATGGTAGTGTAGAAGACGCTGGTAAATGTCAATGCTTTCGTTGTCGATACTCATGGGGACGTAATGCGAATTCGTTGCTATAGTGGATGGAATGATCGTAGGTGTTGGTGTATGTATGTGATTTTTGTCACGTTATAACCTAAAAGCACAAAATTATTCCATAACACAGAAACTTCTTGACCTGTTCACTGAATATTATATATTATTATATGTTAAGCCGAAGACAATAATAATACAGAATTCGACCTCTTTTTTCTTTCTTAAGAGACAAATTTTCTTCGAACAACTTTACAGGTGTCTATGATATTTATGGGTCGATTATGGATAGCAACCAAACTCCAGTTGCGAGTTCAACTGGCAACGCAATTGAAATAAAACTTAACATTATGAATATCAACTTTTCTCAGTTGTTGTCGATAATACTGTTTTGACATTTCTACAACTAGAAATGTTGTAAACAAACAAAAAAAATGAATAAAATATTTCAGAAAAACTAATTATATGTGATGATAAGCTCAGTGGAACTATTTTTTGATGATGAAAATTATGTTCAAGGTGCGTCATTACTTCTGTGAGTAGATGCTGACGTTTAGAGAAATATTCAATCAACTGCTCATATTAGCTTGAAGGCGTATTTTCGACTACCAAAAGATGCCGTTGTGTACATAGATGAAGCCTTAAACCCTGATTTCCGAATAGCCTGGCGGTCAACAGCAACTCCTCCTCTCTTAAAAATGTGTGCAGCCCTGATGTTTTTTGTGGAGGGAATTTTTCAAAAGTCCCATAGCAATGACTTCAACCTTGGCATGGCTCAACCGACAATGTCGGTGGTTTTCGCCGAAGTTATCCGGCTAATAGAGGAAAAACTGTGTAAAATTTTGATTGTATCCAAATTAACGGAGGAGGAAAAAGGGAAGAATAAAAATTTTTTATTCGAAAAGTTCCAGGGTGTTGTCGGATGTATTGATGATACACACTTACATATCATGGACCCAAAAGAAGATTTTCGCCACTTTCTGCCATTCATTTGGAATGCGTGTTGGTGGGCCATAGCAGTTAATGTCTTCTGAAATGGCCTTCCACACATCATCGACAGTGGCTTTGGTTTGACCAAAAGTCCGCACGTCGCGTGCTACATTTGGGTGAGCTTCCATCCGGGCAATAAGGACCTCAAATTGTTCTTTTGTAGTAATATTAACCATTATGGGAAGCCTACAAAGTTCGGTTATTATAAACAGCAACCAGAAATAAATGGTTGCCGAAAAATTCGATTTGAAGCAACTGAAGTTGACAATCCATAATGCAAATTTGGCATTCATTTTTTTCATTTTTATCCTCAGTGAGTAGGCATTCATATTTACTTACCCTGACATTTCCGAATTTTACCCAATTTAATTTTAATTTCTAGGTAACGATAACTTATCTTTTAATTTTTGTCATCCACTAACAAGCTTTCCTCTTGGCCTGGTAGTTCTTCCAAAAATATTAATATTTGTTTATCTTGATTTTAGAATGGCAAGTCCATTGGTCGGGGATTTGGAAATTCCAAGGATGCTACTGATATAATGACCGAGAATTTTAGGACCCAACTAGTCAATATGGGTACGCGTGCTCAAGCCTGTAAGTAAAACAAAACAAAATTATAATTATTTTGTAATAATCTTAAAAAAATATTGAAAATTTTTAATTACAGTTAAGGCGAAGTTACGCTGTCTTCATGAACATCATGTGCGTCTACTACATAATGTCTTACCAGCGCCCTCTGGCGTAGATATTGCTAACAATATCAAATACTTTTCTCAAACTCTATTAAGTAAGTACAAGTACCCACGTCTTCGCAATTATAAGAGACTATTAATCTAATTTTTCTGATAGAAAAAAATCGAGAGCCATTTCGATTATTAGAAGATTCTTGCAGCTTCTGGAACAGATTATAAATGTTTTTTTTTTTATTTTTCCTTTACAGCTGTCCTTAAAGATGTGCGCACCTCACCACACGATCTTATACGCAATCCCTCTGAAGATCCTACACGCATGTCTGCCTATCCCACACTCGAATATGGAAATCTTTATAATGCCCTAACTATGTTAATTGATGTAGCACCTTGCATACAATATGGACAAATTGGTAAGAACGATAAGAAAAACAATAATTTTGTTATCGATTATCACAATTATCGATAACATTTCTAATCGTGATATTTGTTATTTTCTTTAGTTTTTGGAAAAGCTCTACTACAATGTCTCTGTTGCATCCTGCCATTTTTGGACAAGGATCTTATCGATAATCTACCTTATTTAGCCAGCTCTACTATATCTGTATTACCCCCAGCTTTACATCAAGATATCGTCAATGCTCTATGCTATTATATATTACCATTCACAATAAGTAAGTTCGAAATATTGATTTATAATTTTTATTTTATTTTAAATATGCCTTAATTTCTTCGCAGCTCGACGCAGTGCCGATGAACAGGAATCACAAGCCTGTCAATCAGTGTCGTCAGTTATAATGATGGTCTTACAGTACTCTAATAATCCTGGTAAGATGATCGAACCTTTCCTCCCTGCATTTTATAAAAGTAATATTTAAATTTCTCTTCCTTTTCACCTCTCTCTTTTCTACAGCTCATCATTGTCAACTCCTGGAATGCCTAATGACTCTAAAACATAATGTCGTCAAAGATATTCTATGTGTCATTGCCTATGGCACCTCAGTCTCACGATCTTCGGCTGCAAAATTACTATTCTATTATTGGCCAGCTTTTGATCCGAACCTATTTGACAGAAAGGTCCTACTCTCGAAATTAACAAGTAAGTAGCGTATTTGGAATGGTCGTTCACCTCAGTAAAAAATTGTTATATTATCTATTAGAATGGGATCATTTCGGAACAAATTGGTTCAAATTAGAGTTAGGGTATCTCGTTCATTTGATTTTTTTCGGTTTGCTCCGCAAAAGGAACTAGTTCATTCATTTAGTTCCATAGTTCAATCGTTCATTGGTAAACGTCAGTCAATGAACGGAACGGTCTAGATGCACGCTTGAACGATTAAAAGGACATAAGTGAACCAATACAAAAAATGAACGACTGCAACAACGGCATCTAGATGTTCGAAAGAACCCTGCAAAGTATGGATTGTCCCAGTTGTTATAGTTACTTTGAGCTAGTTCCTCCCGGAACAATCCAACTCTAGTTCATTCCATTTGGACAATAGTTATTTGAATTAGTTCAAAGACTCGAATTGGCACCAGTTTGGACTGTTGTACCTACTTACTTACTTACTTAGCTGGCTCGAGACAGAACATTCGTTCCGAAAGCCGAACTTGTACGCAGTTTTTCCAGTTTAAAAGACCATGCTCTGATATGTCATCCTCCACTTGATCTTTCCATTGAATTCGTGGTTTTCCCCCTTTGCGTGAACCATCAATAGACTACTGAGCTGGGGTATCCTCATCCATTCGCACAACATGGCCTAGCCATGGCCTTGTTGCTGCAGCTCGATACGTATGATTATGTTGATCCATTTATTGATGGTATAGCTCGTGGTTCATTTGACGCCGATATTCAACGTCTACGCAGATCGAAAGTACCCATGCTTCCGATCTACTAGGTTGCTCATTTTTGTTATCGTTCACATTGTTCCTTTTGCTCCAATCGTTCATCAAGTTCTTCTCATTCCCGTTGCGCGAAATAACTGACGTCTACCAATGAATGATTGAACCAAAGGGAACTATGGAACTAAATGGATAGCCTAGTTCGTTTTGAAAAAAATGAATACCTGAAAGATTTTTTTCAGCAGTGAGATTATTCGTCGCTTAAAAAAGAAAGAATATCTGAAAAATTCCTTTCATACAGTAAGATTATTCGTGACCTAGACATCTGGGAATATAAAGCCCATTCATGAACTTAAGACTCAAATTGGGCGCCACTTTGGACTGTTGTACCTACATACTTGCTTAGCTGCCTGCTGTTCCATAAGCCGAACTTAAAAAAATATTTCCTGGCGCGTCAATCTTGTAGACAATTTTTTAGTTTGAAAGGCCATGGTTTGATATGTCATCCTCCACTTGATCTTTCCATCGAATTCGTGGTTTTCCATTTCTGCGTGAACCACCTGTTGGCTCGCTGGGACATCCTCATCCATTCTCATTACATTGTCTAGCCAAAATAGTCGTTGCAGCTCGATACGTCTGACTATGTCAATGTCCGTGGTTCATTCGACGCCGATATTATCCGTCGACACTGATCACAAATACCCATGCTTCTGATCCATATAGCAGCACGGGTAGTATCAACGTCTTGTAGAGTGTGAGTTTGGTTTGGCGAGAGGTGTTTCTAACTTGCTTACATAGATCTATAGGATCTCAAAACTGATTTGTTTTATTTATGGCAGATGAAATCTCTGAATACCTCAAAGCTGTAGTTTTCAAGTTTCACAGTTGATCCAAGTCTACAGGACGACTTGCGCGTTGATACCATCAGCTTGTTTTTCTCGTCATTTACTGCCAGACCCACTTTGACAGACTTCTTCTCAATTCGTTCTAAGGTGGGCGTCACCGTTCGCAATGTTCGGCTAATGATGTCGATGTCATCGGCGTATACGAGTAACGTGTGTTGTTTGGTATACAGAGTGTCATTTCTGTTCACCTTTGCATCTCGTAGGGCCTTTTCCAGCGGAATGTTCGTTCTTTATTTTTGGGTCTCACTGAAACTGAACGTGTAATGACTGCAACCTTCCTACATGGATAAATTTAGTATCTTCAGCTATCTGCAGGGCCACTTCCACCTCCTTCTTCATCACTTGCGCTAGCAGGGAACGACTTACTCCCTCCATTTAGATAAATTCTCCCTTTTAGCCTTTAGCGGCATGAATTCCCTGTTATGCGGCCGACATTGTTCCATCGTGAAGATAACCAAGCCGACAGACCAGATGAAATCTCTGAAGGCAGATGAAATCTCTGAATACCTCAAAGCTGTAGTTTTCAAGTTTCACAGTTGATCCAAGTCTACAGGACGACTTGCGCGTTGATACCATCAACTTGTTTTTCTCGTCATTTACTGCCAGACCCACTTTGACAGACTTCTTCTCAATTCGTTCTAAGGTGGGCGTCACCGTTCGCAATGTTCGGCTAATGATGTCGATGTCATCGGCGTATACGAGTAACATGTGTTGTTTGGTATACAGAGTGTCATTTCTGTTCACCTTTGCATCTCGTATGACCTTTTCCAGCGGGATGTTCGTTCTTTATTTTTGGGTCTCACTGAAACTGAACGTGTAATGACTGCAACCTTCATACATGGATAAATTCAGTATCTTCAGCTATCTGCAGGGCCACTTCCACCTCCTTCTTCTTAATAGTTCATTCACTTGCGCTAGCAGGGAACGACTTACTCCCTCCATTTAGATAAATTCTCCCTTTTAGCCTTTAGCGGCATGAATTCCCTGTTATGCGGCCGACATTGTTCCATCGTGAAGACAACCAAGCCGACAGACCATCCTCTTCGCGCCAATTCGTTTAACAGCTCTGATTTACTACCCCATGGAGAACTAGCGAACTTTTTTAATATAGGGAACTATAGTTAGCTTTGTGTGACTTTAAGACTGACCGAATATTTGCGGATTACGGTTACATGTATAATTTTAAGGCGATATTTCGATATACTAATATTTCCCTACTTCTAAATATATCCCTCTAATTTCCTTTACTTTCAGATGATTTGGTACCGTTTGTTTGTCAACGTGAGCATTGTCCCAATGCTGGAAATGCCGAAGCCGCCAAAGTCTGTTTCGATCACAGCATTAGCATTACGTACGCTCCCGATTGCCCACCGCCCCTGTACTTGTGTATTGAATGTGCCAACGAGATTCATCGTGAACATGCCAATTTGGAGTTCGGTGATATCCTGCATCCCATGCAACAAGTTTCGATGGTGTGTGAAAATAAAAATTGCCGTTCGACAGAAAAGTCGGCGTTCTCCATCTGTTTCTCCACTGAATGTGCCAGCTATAATGGCAATCATCCGATCCGATATTGTTCTCAGTGTCACAGTAATCGTCATAATTCACGACGTGGTGGCGATCATGTGGTACATCGTAGTTTACCTCCCGCCTGGCAAATGGATCCCGAAATGCAAATGCACATGGTGGAGTGTGTGGTGAGTTTGCTACGCGAAGCTAAGCCATTGAATTTTGAACCGGGCAAAGAGAGTTCGGATTCAAAGAAAAATGGTTCAGGTGGTGTTGGAGGCGGTGGCGGAAATGGTAGCATGCCTGATGCAATCTCTCCGGAGGAACGACAAATGTTGGGAAGATATGGTATTTGGTTATTGGTGGGGCGTTGTACTCCCACAGATGATACCCCAGTGGAGATATTGGGAAGGATTTTAAGTATGTTGTTCCATTGGTTCCATGTTACCGCGTATTCCTATGATGCCGGCCAGATAGAGAGCACAATTGAAAAATTGAAAACGGAACATGTTGTGGATTGGCTAAAGGAAATTTGTCGCATACACTACAATGTAAGTATCCGGATGAGATTATGTAGAGGTTATCTGGTATTCATGTTCTAATTCTCCAGGTTTTCACCTCCTGCTTGCTACCACATCCCCCAGAATATGCACGAGTGGGCGGCCACTGGGAAACATTGGCATCACGGACTTCACACCTCAAGGAAGGTCTACAACGCCTCATTTGCTTGGTACCCTATGAGGTTATCACTTCGGAAATATGGGATTATGTTATGCCACATTGGATGGAGGCCATAACCAATGATGTGGCCGAAAAGGAACTCAACGAACTGAAAATTGTACTTAGTAAAATTTTAGATCCTGAAATGTCACCCTTAGGTTTTGATGCAAAAACTATGTACAACTTCGTGGCAATACGTTTTGAAAAGACTACAGCCAAGGTCCAGCAGCAAGCTTTGCGATGGCTTCAGATACTCTCGAAATTGGGTATTTTAATCCCATTGGTCCAATTGTTCGCCATGTTCGGTGATGGTGTACGCATTATGAAATATGGTGTACAACATGAACTAATGCGCGAAAAGGAGGGAGGAGGTATTTGCCGTTCTGGCGTTAAGGCCATACCAAGAGAACCGAAAAATGATCCACCGCGCAGGAGTTCAATATGTATGTGAAGACGCACCTGTGAATATTTTCAATTTGTTTTATAATTTCCTTTTCTCCATTCCTTAGCTCCCGTTGTTGAAGATGACTCCAGTAATACATCAGCCATATCTGATGATGAGGCTCCCACAAATTGTCACACAGAATTCTCAACGGATTCGGAACATAATTTAACTTGTTGCATCTTAATGTTGGACATACTTCTGAAGCAAATGGAACTACAGGATATCGAACAACATTTGGGCATTCATACAACGGTGTGCGAAAATGTTTCCCGGCTATTGAAGTGCATGGTAACTGCAGCCAGGGTGGGTCTCAGCAGTCACGTTTGTTCATTGAAGGTAAGATGCCAAAAATTTAAATATAAAAGGGTATTAGAGTCATTCATAGGAAATTTGAAAATCTTGGCCTTCTCATGAGCTCTCTCTAAATTGTACCATTGGACGCCATGCATGGGCGGGTGGGGGAGCTTCACTCACCAGGATGACTGTATCTTCAACAGGTACTGTAACGGAAGAGAGAACTAATATTCACCTCATTAATAGAAGAATCCGATCTAACGCCTTATAAGAGTTCTATAAGAGTTCAGCTATCTACCACCCAAGGATTTGTGGAAATTGTTGGAACTTTTTAACACATCACCTACAGCTGTCGATTCTCCAAGAATCTTATACTTCTCCACCGGCGACATATAAAAGCTAGTCTGATTCAAACCTACTGCCTTTAGTAGTGGAATCAGCCAACCAATTTTAGAGTTAAATACTCGAGTCGCGGATCATTCAGTTGTTTCAGCATTATCGTATGCATTCCTCCGGAATCCAACGATCTGAATGGCCTAGTTCTGTTTTATCCAATCGTTCATCTAGGTCGTCCAGTTCATTGGTCGAATTAATTGAACTAAAAGCAACTACATGACCTAGTTCCTTTTACGGAACTAACTAAACAAAGTTGTATTTTTTGTTTCGCTAGGTCACTCTCGGAAAAATGCTCGACAAATTTAGATTCCTTTATTTAACCGACCATTAATGTGACGAAATTGCATAATCCGAATATAAATATAACAAATTGATACCTAAACTTCGCCGACATTTATCATCGTTTTTAAATATCCCTTTTCAGAGCAGATTTTCCTTGTAGTGACGGACTTTTTTCCATACAACCTACAATATTTTGTTCCATGGTATACAACTGCATACTGTACAACCATAGGAAGATAAGGAGGTGGCTTTCAACGCTAAGGCGCAGGACAACAATCTGTTTAATTCGGTTAGTTGTTATTTTTTCTTAGTTTTTAGGTTCGTGATCCTTGGCGCTTTCATTGAAGCTCCATTCTGGGTGGGCTATAGATGTTTCTTCTTACGGTGTGGCCAATCCATCTTCATGTCCCTTAAGCGTAGGACATGATCCATTTTTGTATGAAAACCAGGTTCGTTAAGTTCCTCAGCTCTATGTAGCACATCTTGTTCCGCCAGGTTATTCTGCATATTATCCTTTTTATTAATATCTGTAGATTCTGCATGCTGGTGTTAGATAAAAGCCATGTGTCACTGCCGTATAGCAATCGATTTTATGCATGTTTCGAATATTTTAAATATGGGTTTCTTGGATAAATGTATGGAGGTTTCTTCATATACCTTGCAGTCCTCCGAATGCAATTCTCGCTTTGTCCTCCGAATGCTGCGAGAACAGCATTCTGCATGACGACTTCTTGTAACGCTGCTTCCTATTTAACAGAAGCTATCAAAGTATTCAATAATTTAGTCTTGTAAATTTCCATGGTCTTAGTTTTCTTGATAGTAATCTAAAGTCCAACATTGCCTACCAGTCTCTCTCCCGGTCTTCAAATTTTGACTACAAGTTTGAAATCCTGCTACGAAGAATACATATATCATCTGCATAATCTATGTCTTCGATTTGTCATGGGATACTCCATCTAACGCCTCTACTCTGAGAGTAGACTTCATTCAGAACAATTGTGAAAAGTAGGGCAGACAGAGAGCATTTATACTCTCTACAGTTCTGCAACCTCCTTAAATCACTCTTATTATTCCGATTATTTTCTGGTGTACACCTTTTTGTTTAATGCTTCAAATATGGAGAATGCCTATCAGTCTGCTTAGTCCTTTCTTGTTTAGCGTAAGTATTTGCTTAGTCTTATCCTCATTTGGGTCTCCCCATAAGATTTTTGTGTTTTTTCGAGTTGGTTGGCTATCTCGTTTCATATGACTCCTGAGTGACCCATATTATACGTACAAGACCGTGTCGTGAGAATTTGTTTATTGTTTTTATGCATTCCAGTACAGTTTTTGATGTAACTGTTTTGGATGTTATTGCATTAATAGCATGTTTACTATCTGTCATGATATTTATGTTATTATGCCCAGAGTTAGAGCTTAACCATCTTAGAGACTCCGTTATAGCTTGATCTCGCAGGCGGTTCTTCAATAAAAAGTCCCAGTCCCGTCTTTCCTGCTAGCCGGGAGCCATCCGTGTAACAACAGTTTCCCGGAGGCAATGTGCTAGTGTTCCGCTGCTCCATGAGTCTCTGTCCGGTATCAGGATTTCACACAATGTGATTACTCTTGTTTCAGGTATTCGATCTGACTCAAAGTGGTTAATTGAGTATCCGATCGTAGTCTGTAGTATTTATTTAATGTTGCCATTTTCCTCTGGGTGGCGTTATATCCTGCCATTCCATGTTGCCTGTCCAGGGGCTTCGTTTCCATTTTATGTCTAATGGAATTTAACTTCATTTTTACATATATATGAGAAGACCACTTCGAAAGAATTGGTTCCTCCGCATTATTATCCCAACTCCGTTTTCACCGCCATTTGCGTTTCCACTGTACAGTTGACTTAGGGCGGTATTACATCGTTTTCTCTGGGAAATTCTTCGATTTTATTCAACCTTATTTCACTTATACATAAGTCTTCGTTCTTATAAGATATCAGTTACTTTCTAGCTTTGCTAGCCCTACGATGAGTTTTCAACTTCCACTGCGCGATTCGGTATAATGAAGTCTGTCCTTTGTAACGGGGCTATATATTTGGATGAGAACACTGCCACCTTGAATTTGTTGTAGTGGTTGGGGTCCTTGCTTAGTATTTATTTAATATTGCCATTTTCCACTGGGTAGCGTTATATCCTGACATAGCTATTTGTCGTGTCGAAGTTATTTGTCAGAGGGATTCGATTGCGTTCCATCTAAGGTGGGATGTAAAATAGAAATTTTTTATAGGTTTAGCAGTCGAGAGCATTTCTTATCTTTATTTCTAAACTGTATTTTATTAATTTTCAGGTTGCTGAATGTGCTTACTGTGAAGCATCGATAATGTGGCATCAATTATCAACGAAACTAGTACAATTTATGGCTCCACTGAATCCTCTAAGGCCACCAGATGTAAGTCCTCACACAAACGATTTCCCCCCTATAATGAAATACTTTATTTTTTCTCGGAACAGGTACCCATTGAAGAAATTATCGAAGAAGAGAAATCCTCACGTAAAAGTCCACCGGAAAGCGACAAGGAGAAGACTCGCGAACGTGATGTCTCACTTTCTATGGCTCCATTACCCATACCCTTGGGACCGCTGGGAGGATTTTCAGGTGCTTAATTTGGTTTTATTTCACCCTTGTAACTTAAAAAAAAACTCCCTCTAGAAAAAAACAAAAGATCCCCCAAAACCTAGTATCCCTCTAGAATTGATAAAAGTCTTGAGTAAAAATAATATACGTCCACCCCAAACCCTATTTATTCCCAAGTCCGTTATTAAACAAAATCCTTGCATAATGTAAATTTAAAATCGATAAACCTTTTAAAACAAAACTCTAAAAACGAACTCTCTCGCTCTCTCTGTGTCTTTGTGTGCTTAGAAAGCCAGAGTGAGTTTTTGTAACGATATTTTATTTTACTTAAATCAAATTAATTACTACTCTCTTGTGGTCTGTCTCTCTCGCTCTCTCTATGTCTTAGTGATATGCCAAAACGAGAGATAAAAAACAAAAGAAAAGAACTTATGTCACATTAGCAATGGAACTCTTAGTTTTTTAATGATTCTTCTCTTTTTTTGTGCACTTTGAAAGCAACAAAAAACAACAATATTAACATAACAGACATAATAATAAAGATGATAATTTAAAAGAGAAAGATAATACACTAACAATTAGATGAATTATTTCCCCCTTAATGATTGGCTTTTTAAAAGGATAGACATAATTCAGCCCATGTTTTCTTGACTACTACATTTTTTTAGTTATCACTCTCTTCAGGCACTCTCTCTCTCACCGATTCCGAACTAAATTCAACAATACTTGTCACTGGCCAAATCTATCACTCTCTCTCTCTCTCTCGCTCTCTTGCAATCACCAACTCTCTATTTTTAAAACATCTTTTGTTTAACACTCTGTATATATTCCCTTATTTCTTTCTCTCTCTATGTATATCTATCTCTCCTGATCTTTCTCTAACCACCAACTTCTGGCTATCGTAACTTTAAAACAATTTTGCATTTTTATTACTTAACAAAACAACTATATGTATATCACTACTCTCTTTTGCTACAACAATAACAAAAAAAAATAATAATAACCACGATATGATGTCCTCACGATCACACTCAAGACCTTTTTAAGCTCGATCCAATCATTTCAGACGATGGGAAAATTATAATTATGGCAGGTGATGCATCTATGCTCTCTCTATATACTCTACTCTTTCTCTCTCTCTCTAATACTCCCATAAAAACAAAACAAAGCAAGCCATAACATTGTGTTGTCTCTTTTTTATAACAATTCTGTTCGAAGCCATATTTTTTTCTTTCATAATTAAAAAAAAAAACAAACTTATCGATTTTTTCTCTGTCGCTTTGTTATTGAGTGAAATGCCGCCCTAAGTTCTGTTAAGTTCTCACACTAAACCACCGAATACCACCTTTACACTGTACACACACAATACACGGAGAAAAGTTTTTGAGCCCCCTTTTTTCGACCCACCTTACACCACCACAGTTTCAAACAATACACTTAACACGAAAAAACCAGTAAGGAAAGTAGTAAAGTCGGACGGGGCCGACTATATGATACCCTTCACCACTATGGGTATATTAAACAGGACTATTAACATGTAATTGGATGAAAAAAAGTAATATTTATCTAAATGTGAATCTACCTAGATCTATCCATAAAGTATGTTAATCGACTTCAAACAAATATAAATAAGTCCGTTGGGCTATGTCTGTACTTCTAGAAAACGCAACTACGTAATTGTATGCTCAATTTTGTGCGTTGTGCACAATTTGATGTCAATCTGACTAACATGAGGAGTCTGATGCCCAATTTACTTGAAATCGGTCGAAAATATATATGGAAGCTCTATCCAAATATTAAGCGATTTCAAACAAACTTGTCACAGGTTAGGTTATACTAATTTCAGAACGTTTTGTTTCTATTGGTTCCTTAGTACGTCAATTACTTAAAATCAATCTATAATAAAAGGGAGCTATATCTAAATCTGGACCGATTTTCACGAAACTTGGCAGACACCATTCTAGGCTCAATTCAGTACGTTATGACAAATTTCGTGCAAATCGAAAGTTATGTAGGGACTTTGGGGCACCATTTACATGAAATCGTACGAAACTATATGTGGGAGCTATATCTAAATCTGGGCCGATTTTCTCGAAACTTGGTAGACATCATTCTAGGCTCAATTCAGTGCGTTATGCCAAATTTCGTGCAAATCGAAAGTTATATAGGGACTTTGAGGCACCATTTACATGAAATCGGACGAAACTATATATGGGAGCTATATCTAAATCTGGACCGATTTTCTCCAAACTTGGCAGACATCACTCTAGGCTTAATTCAGTACGTTATGCCAAATTTCGTGCAAATCAAAAGATATATAGGGACTTTGGGGCACCATTCACATAAAATCGTACGAAACTATATATGGGAGCTATATCTAAATCTGGACCGATTTTCTCGAAACTTGGTAGACATCATTCCAGGCTCAATTCAGTACGTTATGCCAAATTTCGTGCAAATCGAAAGTTATATAGGGACTTTGAGGCACCATTTACATGAAATCGGACGAAACTATATATGGGAGCTATATCTAAATTTGGACCGATTTTCTCCAAACTTGGCAGACATCACTCTAGGCTTAATTCAGTACGTTATGCCAAATTTCGTGCAAATCGAAAGTTATATAGGGACTTTGAGGCACCATTTACATGAAATCGGACGAAACTATATATGGGAGCTATATCTAAATCTGGACCGATTTTCTCCAAACTTGGCAGACATCACTCTAGGCTTGATTCAGTACGTTATGCCAAATTTCGTGCAAATCAAAAGATATATACGGACTTTGGGGCACCATTTACATGAAATCGTACGAAACTATATATGGGAGCTAAATCTAAATCTGGACCGATTTTCTCCAAACTTGTTAGACATCATTCTAAGCTCAATTCAGTACGTTATGCCAAATTTCGCGCAAATCGAAAGATATATAGGGACTTTGGGGCACCTTTTACATGAAATCGGACGAAACTATATATGGGAGCTATATCTAAATCTGGACCGATTTTCTCCAAACTTGGCAGACATCACTCTAGGCTTAATTCAGTACGTTATACCAAATTTCGTGCAAATCAAAAGATATATAGGAACTTTGGGGCACCATATACATGAAATCGGACGAAACTATATATGGGAGCTATATCTAAATCTGGACCGATTTTCACGAAACTTGGCAGACATCATTCTAGACCTAAATGATTAAGCTGTACCAAATTTCGTGCAAATCGAAAGATATATAGGGGCCGTTTACATTAAATCGGTTAAATATATATATAGCTATATCTAAATCTGAACCGATTTTTCCCAATTTCAATAGGGTTCGTCCTTGGGCCGAATAAGTGACCTATGCCAAATTTCATTCAATTCGGATCATAAATGCGACCTGTACTTTGTTTACAATTTAACATGGACAGACAGGCGGACGGACGGGCATGCATAAATCGACTTAGAAAGTGATTCTATGCATATTCTCTCTCGTTTCCTTTTGCCTGTTACAAGCATATGCACAAAGACATAATACCCTGTACCACAGTGTGGTGAAGGGTATAAACACGATTTTTTTATCGAAATTTGCCTAGACATTTTGTAGCGAAATTTTATTTAAATTTTCTTTCGATTAGATTCCTAACTTTCCGAAAAATTAGATGCGTATTTTTTTACTAAAAGTGTATATCAGAAATAATGAATAGTGAATGGAATTTTTAATTTATCGATAAACATACTGTCCACTTATTTTTTTATTTGGGACGCGTTATATCCTGTCTTCGATGCTACGGATGCTTTACATCTGAAATGAGAAGTTTTAAAAGAATTCTTCTCGCCCTGCTGGGATTCGAACCCGGTACCCAACGGTTTGTAGTTTAGAAAACTATCCACTTTCAGAACCCAAAAAATATCTGTCTGTTTGATAATGGTTCCAATCATCTACTTAGCTGGAATAACGAAACTGAAGCAATTCAAAATGAAGAACAAGAGGATCGACAGGATGGAATGTACGTACTCCTCGTGAAGCATCGAGGCTTGCACACCTAGAATAGCAAATGGTATCTTGTAATTTTGAATCCAAAGGTGTAACCGAAGTTAGATGGAATAGAAACGATGAACTTCCCACAGAAAACGGTGGCAACTATGTGCTCTAAGTGGTAAAGAAAATGATGGTATAAGCGGAGTTGGGATCATAATGTCGAATAATGTAATATGCGTCACCGTAGTACAGTCTTATCCACCCGAGGAAGATGCTGAAGACAGTGTGAACGATGAATTTTACGCACATTTAAAATCCAGACTTAATGAAACTCAGAGAGGAGATATCATGATTCCCATGGGTGACCTTAAACCCTAAAATAGAAGGCGATAATACCAATGCCCGTTCAACAGAGGGGAAACATGGATGCGGAATTAAAAACAATAAGAGTGAGTGATTCATATAACTGTGTCATTCATTCCGCCTTCTTATCTCGCATAATGAGAATCAAAAATACACATGGACATCACCAAATGGCAATTGTCGCAAACTAATGGATCACATATGTGTTAGTTGAATATGGAAGACCCTTGACAGACTTCAGAAACAAAAGAGGAGCTGACATTGACACTTGCCACGAGCTCATCAGTCAGCACAGTGAAACCAAGCGAATACTACTTCGCCTACAATAGCTCCAAAACAGTCAGAAACGTCCAAGTTCCGGCAATACGCAAAAAGTAATCAATAACCCAACATCATATGTATATGGGAACATTGGGCGTAGTTCAAAAAAAACATTTCGAAGAAATCTGGGATGTCAGAAACGCACAGAGTGTATACTTGCAGTCCAATGGAAGATACGTGTAACCCTTCCAGATGCATCGAATTAAAAGAGACAATATAATAACTAAAATGTATAAAAGCAGCAGGATAACAGGCGGAAGCTCTAGACGCCGGCTACGGAATTTCACCGGAGTTTCTTTGACCTCACATCATATCAGCTTATGAGGAAGGAAGACCGCATCGATCATGGAACTTGACAGATTGTAACAAATGGAGAGGAACAGTCCTGCTATAGCTGGATGAGGAATGTGGAAATATCTACCATTAAGACAAGGCCACATTGTTTACCGAATTGACAGCGGAGATTGGGCTACCTTTGAATGTGCAAATGGCCCAAAATTCCGAACACCAATTAACCCATGGATCTAGGGGTCAGCCTCTATAAGTCATCCATTCATGCCACAGCTATTTGTGGTAAGGTCAGGAGCAGAAACATGGTTCTAGGGGTTACATTCGATAACCTATTTGTGATAAGGGCAGGAAGAGGAACAAGGTTCTCATGTCGCTAGCCGGCAGCACTTGGGGGCGCTGACAAAGAAACCTTGTTAACAATATGCACAGCAATAGGCCGGTCTGTGGTAAACTATGCGGCTCTAATGAGGTGCGCCAACGTTAGTGCAACGCAATGAAAAAATCTCCACCCACCACCTCGGCTTGCCAGTAAGATTCTGAGGTCCAAAGGCAAGCCTCAAGATCTACAGGCCTATCAAGCAGGATTGAATTGTATTTACACGGATGCAGTTGAGGAAGTAATTCAAGAATATAGATTGTATGCAATCCTCGGAGATTACTCGCCTACGATAGCAGCATTGGGCATGAATTGATGGCACTGTGGCAACCGATACAGGTCTCAGCCTTTTTTAACCTGGAGTTAGAAACAGAATCAGATTAAAGTAGAAATACGCAGCAGTATAAGTTGCTATAAGAACACAACTATGCAGTAGCACAGAAAATAATATAAATAACAAGGGTGATGTACAAAAATGTAGAACTCTCTCTTCTTCACAACGGGGAGATAAGTCAACCGTTTTTCATCAATGCAGGAGTAAAGGAAGGATGTCATCTGCCAACTCTACTGTTCAATGTCATCTGCTAACTCTACTGCACAATTGTACTGTATGAAATAATGAACCAATTCCGCTCTCAGAGTAAGGGCATAACATGTAGTCTCTCAGACCAAATCGAAGACTTAAATTATGCGGATGATATATTTCCTCTTTTTCGAAAGATATCCAACAGGCATACAAAATTAGAAAACCGGGAGGGACTGACTCGCAGTATAGGGCTTGAGGTTATTATCAAGAAAACTAAGGTCATGAAAATTAAAAACACCAGTACAGAAGACGCCATGTACAGTACAGAAGACGCAAAATCTATACGATCATATGCAGAATATTCTGACTCGACATCATAAGTAACGTAGGGCGGTGGAACCTAACGAATCAGGAACCCATACAAAAACGGATTAACGGTTGGACCACACCGTAATACCTTAAAATGTTCATAGCACAATGAGAATAGAGCTTAAATGGAAGCACCAAGGATTACGACGGTTTGAAAGGAAAACATAGATAGACTTGTAGAAAAGTCAGACTAGAACATTAAACATACGGGATATACGCGGGTTCGAAAACTTCTTAGCCTAGAACAAAAAGCGCGGTATAAATAGAAAAAAGTTAAGTGTTTTGGAATTTTACATAAAATTCCGCATATTTTACATAAAAAAGGTTTATCGGGACAAGAAATTCATAATGATATAGTGAATATGTTAGGTGAAAGTGCTCCTTCATATGCCGTACAAGCATAGAGGATGAACCAAAAATTTTAGCCAAAGTGCATAATATGGAATTAAATTATCGACGAATAAAAGTGCGTGAATGATCGAGTTCATTTAATTTTGCATGAAGAACTACAGATAAAAAAACATTCTGCATTATGGGTACCGCATTTGTTAACAGTCGATCAAAAACGCATAAGAATGAACATTTCTCAACCTTGTTTGGATCGTTTTAACCGAAATGAAATGGATTTAAGCTTCGTTTCATAACTGTTGATGAGACTCGGATCCACCACTATTCTCCAGAGACAAAAGAACAATCCAAACAATGGACTGAAGCTGGAGGAAGTGCCCTAAAGAAGGCAAAAACAATTCGATCGGCTGATAAGGTTATGGCAACGGGACTTCAAAAGTATTTTATTGATTGACTATCTGCAAAAGGGTAAAACAATAAATTCAGAGTACTATTACAACCTTTGGTATCAATTAAATTCACAAATTCGAGAAAAAAAGTTCTGGCTTACAACACAAAAAATAATTTTTCGTTAAGACCACTCAACTTATTCTCCTGATTTAGCTCACAGTGTATTTTACTGTTTCCAAATCTAAAAAAAATCCTTACTAGCGAGCGTTTTACCTCAAATGAAGATGCAAATACAGTAGTAAACTACTATTTTGAAGACCTTGAGGAAAACTATTTTAATCAAGGGATATAATTGAGAAAAGAGTTGGACTATGTGTATTGATGTTTCAGGAGATTATATCGAAAAATAAAAATATTTTTGAAATGCTAACTATTCTCTTTCATTGATAGGCTAAGAAGTTTCCGAACCGCCCTTGAAGTTTACGATCTTTATATGAGGACCATGTCAAAAAAAATGTCCAACATAGACAAATTTTCAACCAAAACATTTTTTACCCACCAAGCGTACGGAATATCAAATTTATTATTTTGTATTCCATTCCACATATTTCTGATATACATTAACACCGACTATTTTAGAAACTCTAACCTGAAAAGTGCATGTTTCTAGCATTTTAGCAAATAGAATTCGAATTATTTTTTTTTTTTCTTTCAAATTTCCTTGTAGCTGAAAACAATTAGAAATTGATTTCAAATCCATTTTAATACTACCTGCATGCCATTAAGCGAATGACAATTTTAAATTCCTAACATGATAACCTTGTTAAATTGAACCCTAAAAAAATATATAAAAAAAATTGAGTTGATATTATAATTTTTTGAAGATTGTGTTCATTTGCCAAAAATATTTCGATATTATATCCTGACTAATACCCCTTCCAATATACAATATGTTTAGGTCCAGTACCAGTGGCGGTACCACAGCCCGAACCGCATTCTGTGGGTGGAGTTCTTGTACACATGCCGCATGTGTGTTCGGTAAGTAACAAAAACTAAAAAATACACTCAAAGAAAAATCGCAGTCAAAAGAAATACGAACAAAAAATAAGTCATCAAAACATTTACAACAACAACAACAAATATATCAACTACAAATAAAACATAGCTCAAAAAAACAAATTACATTTTCAACAGGAATGAGTATTTTTTTTTTTAATTAATTTTTAGTTTTTAGTTTACAGACTTTCCCCCCAAATAAAATACAAAAAAGGTTAAGTTACAATTTTAGAAAAACAACAATTATTTTCCCTGATTATTATATTAGAAATATTTTCTTAATTTTTTATAATTTTAATTTTCTTTAATATGTTTGTATCCCCAAATGAAATCAAAAATTTAAAAAACTCAAAATTCATTCGTCATCTTTTCATTTTCAATTATAGAAGAACGATAATGGCCATTCGGTTGATAGTATTGAATTGAGAAAAGTTCACGCTACAGACGAGGTACTTTGTGCATTTTTGAATCACAAAAACTAAAATCAAATACTACAAAAAACCAAAATCAATATTTGTTGTAATTTTTTACGTTTAAATTAATTTTAAAGAAATTCGAAAAAGTTTTTTGAAAAATTCTATAATATTTTTTTGCTCAAAATTCCAAATTTTTGATGTTTTATAGTTTAGTTTTTTAATACTTTTTTTAATTTTAAATGGGTTTGTTGTTGAATGTCGAATGAAACGTAGTCGTCACTTGCATTCGTTTCACAGCAAGAGAACAATTTAAATAGGTCAAAAATATATTTCAAGATACCTAAACCTAATTTTTAATACAAAACTAGGTATCACTGTCTTGAAAAATATTCAACAAATTTTCACTTCGTTCGACAATCTAAAACATACCCTTGGTGTTAATTCAAAATATATATTTACAATATATGTTCAATGTATATAAATAAATGTACAAAGTATTATTTTGTTATTTATTTATATTTAATGTGATTTGTTTTTTTTACATATTGGTGTTAGATTTTAGAAATAGAAATTTGATAGCTATAAACCAGTGAGCGTAACAGTATAGTCAGACGGGGCGATCATATGATACCCTATGTTCCGAGCCTGGGAAATGTTCCGCAAAATTTGCACTCTCTTGACCGATTAATGGTTAAGAGCTCCCCCGTGGCATCTTTTACGAATCATGTTTTCTCGGTATAAAAATTTACACTATAAGATTAAAATTTGGTTCATTTGACCCATAAAAAATATTAAGACAGTCATTTGAATTCGTTGCTCAGATCGCCTTTCCCATGGAAAATTTGTGATTTTTGGAATATATTTGTGACGTCTAGAGCGACTAAAAAACCAAAGAACAATAAAATTTTCGGTACATATCCGCGAAATATAATCTGATCTTCATTGAAAATTATAGACGTCATTCTTGATAATAAAGTAACATTTCCTGGCCATCTGCTCTATATTTCCAACATCTAGTGTGGTAATCCTAATACTAAACAATATAAGAATACCTAGACACCTGCAAGTATTTAAGTAAATCTCCCTTCTTATACGAGTAGAAGAGCTGGAGGTCTGTCACTCCTCTTGGATATACTATCAACTTCTCGGGTCGTTGTCCTTCAGGTGAAAATATATACGCCACACAAAAGTCTGGAGGGAATAGTTTCCCTTCTTCGTGGAATATATTCACAATTTTAGACTATAGGGCGACCAGAAAAACAGACAAACATACAATTCTTAGTCCATCTCATCTCCTTAATATTAACCGATCATTACCAAAAACAACAGGAGTCTTTTTTGTCCAGAACCCGTCCTACATGCAAAATTTCGTCCACAACTGTGGCCTGTAGCGTGTTTACAAATGATAATGGACAGACGGACACACTCTGACTAGATCAACATGGTGGGTCAGGGAGCAATATTTTGCCAATATCCATAGTTGGGTAGGATATAAAAATATATACTTACTTGCTTGCTTAGCTGGCTTTGTGACAGAAATTTGTTCCATACGCCGAGCTTAAAAAAGATTTCCAGGCGCATCGGTCATGTGCACAGCCCTTCCTCTTCTCTGAAAGGCCATGTTCCGAAATATTCTCTTCTACTTGATCTTTCCATCTAATTCATGGCCTTCCCCTTCTGCTAAGCCATCAAATGGCTCACTTTTAATGTCTTTTGTGCTGGGGCATCCTCATCCATCCTCACAACATGACCTAACCAACGTAGTCGCTGCAGCTCGATACGTCTGACAATGCCGATGTCCGAGAATAGATGGTACAATTCATGGTGATATTCACCGTCATCGTACCATCTGTTGGCCAACACTATCCTTCTTCGAATCTCAAAACTGAAGTCATTTGTTTTATTTATGGCGGTACAACCAAGGTATATAAAATCTTTGGCTGTAGTTCTCAAGTTCCGCAGTTGGTCCGAGTCTACTGGCGCGCTTTGATACCATCAGCTTGGTCTTCACGCCATTTACTGTCTGTCCCATTTGGCAAACATGGATGTTGCCGCTTGTTCGACAATGTTCGACACATTATATCCATGTCGTCGGCGAGTAAGATATGCGGTTTGGTGTACAGATTGTCATTTCTGTTCATCTTTGCCTCTCGTATGACCTTTTCCATCAGGATGTTAAAAAGATCGCACGACATACAGTACCCCTGTCTGAATCCTCGTTCGGTATTAATTGACTCCGATAGATCCTTTTCGACTTTAACTACTGACCTTGTGCCAGTTAAATTTGTCCTGCATAGGCGTATTAATTTTGCAGGAATGCCGAACGCAGATACGACTTTAAACAACTCTGAACGGATGGGGCTGTCGAATGCGGCTTTATAGTCGACGAATAGGTGGAATGTGTCGATGTGAGTCTTTTCCAGGTTTTGGAGCAGTATGAAAATATGGTCTATGGTAGATTGGCTTCAATCGTTGACGCAGCACACAGGGTAGCTATTTATATACGATGGGAAGAAGACTTATTCCTCTATAGTTGGCACATATAGTCTTGTCTCCTTTTTTGCACGGGACGCCGGACGCAGATGTTCCAATCATTGGGCAAAATTCTACTAATCAATTGGTGGATGATCCTGATTAGCTTCTGGCCTTGAAGAGCTCGGCTGGTAATCCGTCGGCACCAGCTGATTGATTGCTATTCTGACCTCATCTTGGCTATATATACCGTCATCAATATATACCGTCATCTCTTATTGGCTCTGTGGTATCTTCTTCACCGTTACTATTTGATACCTTTAGCTTTGCAAAATGATCATTCTAGATCTTCAACACGCTGTCTGTATTTGTCACCAAGTTTTCTTCTCCTTTGGTGCCTGCACCAAAGCCTTCGATTTGGCGTTTTACTCTTTGGTAAAATTTCTGGACTTCATTCTAACTCCTGTACATCTCGAATTGCTCGCGTTTTTCTAGTTTTTTCTTTTGAAAATACGTTTCTCCTCTCTCCTTTTCCCCTGATAATTCTCTCTTGCATTGCGTGTTGCTACTGTTTTCAGGGTTGCCCACTCCTACTCCACTCGTACAACGAGTTTCTTGATGGTGCTGTTCGGTACACAAATGTTGCTTTTGCTGCAGTTTACAGGGGGTGGTCAATTCTTCTGCTATCTGTTGTGTTTGTAGGTTTTCGACGTCGAGTTTCCGTGTTACATTAGATCGCACCTTTGCTGCTACATCAAGACGAGTGCGAACATTGGCTGGTACAAGATAGTGGTCCGAATCGATATTCGCTCCTCGATCGAATGTCTAACACACTGGATGAATGCCTTCCGTCTATCACAACATGATCGATTTGATTTCTCGTTGTTTGATCGGGAGAAATCCAGGTGACCTTGTGTATATCGAGATGCTTGAATCTGGTGCTGCTAACTAACATACTTGTTGCAGCCCCGAAGTAAATCATCCTCAGTGGGGCCAAAAATATTTTCCCTGGAGACGAGGTCTTTTATTCTCCTGTTAACCATAAATCCACAGCCAAATTCATGTCTCGTTTCATGGCAACTATAATTTACTTACTCTACTTGCGGCACATATGAGCTCACTATTTCCACGGATTGCTGAAAGTAACTACCCTAGGTGACACCACGGGGAGGTTAGTGTCCACAATTGAGATAAAGAGGGATCAAGATAAGCCACGGCTGTGCGTTGTTAAGGTCAATCTACAATCCCCTACTTCACCCAGCAGATGTCAAAGTATTCAAATTTCTAGGATATTACAACTTTTTTTATATATATTAAAAATATATTTTTAGTTTTTATTTGATTATTTTTTAAACTATTTTTATTGTCTCAAAGTATCTTGTATGTGTGTGTGAATATAACAAATTATTATTACAAACAAATATCAAAAACTAATAAATGTTTTTAAAAGCAAACAAATTCTTGTAAATAAATTTCAGCAGATAAAAAATATTCAATTAATATTATTTTTTTCTTAATTTTTAATTTATCTTTTTATTTACAAAAATATACATTTTAAAATATTTTTTTTCGGTGTATATTTTTTTAATTAGCATGAAAATATTAATTATGTACAGCACAAATACTGCCGTCGAACACCAATAAAAACGCACTGAAACCAATTCGTACTCCTGAAATTATGCACCATAATTTTTTTTAGAGATTTTTCAAAATAATTCCAGAAACTCACCCAATGAAAATACTTAATTCAAATTGTATTTATTAAACATTTCTTTCGAGAAAATCGATTTCATTAAATATGTATATATTTATTTATACATACATTCATTTTAATGTTTGTATAAATTTTGTAAATAATTTTTTTTTATATATGTATAAAATAATTGTAAATATTATCTCTGTGTAAATGATGAAGATACAATAATTTATTTTTTTATTTATACAAATGTTACTTCTTTTTTTCAATTCTGTAATTTAGATAATGACCGCAACTGTTGAAACAGTATCGGAACAATTGGATTTGGCATCTATATTGCCACCGGATCGTGCCATTGCTAGATCCATAACATTATCGGATGCAGATGTTGGTAAGTACAGTATGACTATTATTTTTAGGATAAAATCATAATGCTCAGTCCGATGGAATCCAGATGGCTTTAATCAATTGCCCTCTGATATGCGAGTGCAATCGACTTCTCGGTTCCCTTACTTTTATGCATTCATGCTAATACAGGGTTGCCCATATTCGACGGACCCATCTGGCAACGCCATAACTTTTGACAGAGATGTCACATAAAAAACATTAAAAAATGACAGAAGTGCGCCTTCTAAGCACACACAGCGTTTATACGGCCACACTGGTTAAGGCTCTTTACATCCGAAGAGGCCATATAAAAATCGAAATTAAAAAAATTAGGCCTCCAAGAACATCCCAAAAACGCCGTTCTCAGCAGTTGGGCATGGCTCGGTCCACTTTACAACGGATTATTCGCATTGATTTGCTTTTATTCCCGTACAAAATTCAAATTGACGCAAAGAATGTTGCCTGCGGACTAGTCTCGTCGATAGGAATGGGCTTCAGTCATCGAAATTTCCAGAACGTAGCAATTTTGAACAAAATTATGTGTGATGAAGCCCATTTCACATTGAATGGGACCGTAAATACGCAAAATTGCCATTTTTACGCCACTGAAAATCATCAGGAGATTCAAGATGTGCCTCTTCATGACGAAAAAGTCACAATTTGGTGCGGCGTTAGTGCGAAAACGGTAATTGGGCCGTTTTTCTTCCAAAATGAAAATGGCCATGCTGTTACCAGGAGCGTTATCGCGACATGATGACCAATTTTGTGATGCCAATTATTCGTCGAAAGCTGGACGAATAATAAAGACGGCGCTCCGCCGCACACAAGTCGCATAACAATCGATTTTCTGAATAATTTGTTTCCGGGCCGTTTGATGTCGAAAAGTGGTGATTTGGACTGGCCACCGCGTTCGCCCGATTTGACGCCGCCTGACATCTTCTTGTGGGGAAATTTAAAGTCAAAACAAGCCAAGAACCGTAGAAGAGCTCAAGGACAACATTCGTGAAGAAATATCCACTACTCCGGCCGAAATGTTGGCAAAAACGATGGAAAATGCAGCAAAAAGGGCACAATACGTCATCATCCCTCGCAGCTTTTACTTTGTCCTCGAATGTTAAAGTAGACAACGTTCTCCTCACCCTTAGTTTTGGCCAGACTTTCCATTGAAGACCGGTCCAAGCCCATTACAAGGAGAGTCTATTCTCTGTTCTCCTTCCTTCATAAGACTACCCACTTCTTCACCAGCAGTGTCTTGTTCTGTAGAACAAAGACTCCGAGTATTCGTTCTGTCGTGAACTCTCTGCCCTAACCTCTGATGAAGCCCATATGCCTATTAGTAGCATATAAAAGATATTCATGCGAGTTGGTCATCTTATCCTCGGCTCTCTCCGTTTGTTTGTCTTCCTCCTCTTCAATCCTTCTGGCACCAATCATGAAGTAGACAGCGTTGAATACTTAAATACTACTACTTACCCTTAGTATTGGTCAGACTTGCCATTGAAGACATGTCCAAGCTTATAACAAGGAAAGTCCCTAATTCGTTCTCCTCCCTGTGGATGGCTTCCCACTTTTTCACCAGGAATGTCTTTATATGTAAACCAAAGACCTCGAGCATGCGTTCTGTCATGAACTCGGTGCCCCAACTCCTGACTTTGCTGCCGTATCACTCCGATGGAAGTTTATCTGGATGACCTTAATTGTAATAAAGTCCTTCCCGTAGAAGACTTTCACATCTTCTGTAGATCAAAGACTTCGAGCATGCCCCCGCTGGTCCAACCTCTGATGATGACCGTTTCTTGTTGTAATTGAGAAATTTATCATTTCCTCATCAGCTTGAGTTTGATTGTCTCGCTTATGAAGACTATGCTTGCCACTAGGGTTTCAGGCTTTAACTCAAATTCTAGCATGAGATGCAGCAGTTGCTAGATGATCTTATTATTGACTGCACCCATTACCCCCTTATGGGTCTCAATTTGTATTTAACCGGGGCACTATTATCGACGATCAGATGGCGACTTATTACCAATTGTAGCAATTACCTTTCTCTTTCCTAAAGTCCTATTAGTCCTTTTTAGGATTCCCGGTCTTCAAGGTATTACAGCCAGCTTCGCCGCTCTCAGACAATGGATTCTCGTAACTACATTAGATAATCTTCCTGGAATTTGCAGGTGCTGAGATCAGTAGGGTCCTTCCCCTTTTAAGGATTCCCGGTATTTATCGAATATGTCGATTCATCGCTCGTCTACATCCAGTTTCGCCGCTCTCAGTTAATGAATTCTCGTAACTGCATTAGATAATCCCCCTTGAATTCGCAGCTGTTCAGATCAATAGGGTTCCACCTTACAGCAGTTGCTCCATGGTCTTATTATTAACCGCATCCATGACCTCGTTATCGTTTCTTTCTTAGTTTGCCGGACGTACTATTCTCGTCGATCACTGCATAACAGATCGTTCTTATTTCTCCTCTGGATGATGGCTCCTTCCCAACTGTTACTACCCTCCTGCTTTTTCGTAAAGTCTTTTAGAAATTACGGAAGATTCCGATGCAGCCTTCTACTTCTGGTTATTAGAATCAGATTCGTCACCCTCAGTCGATGGTGGCCATCTCCTTGAACTTTGCTCTCTTTTCCTTTTTTGTGGATTTTACATTCACCATCTCTTCCGGAGATCTAATCCTTACGCCGCATTTGAGGAAGTGGAGTGAAGATCAGGCTTAGCAATATCTTTGCTCACTTCTTCCACCATCTTAACAACCTCTTCGTTCATTCGGCATTCTATAACGGTTATTTTAAATTCTTAAACTCAGATCCGTATTTGCCTGTTGGATGCGTTCATGTGTCCACATCTGTTCGAGATGTCTGCTCATAATTGCAGACTGACATGGCGTGATCAACTACACTCGCCGGTAACTTCTTGTTTTAGAGGAACAACAAGGGATGGCAAATTGTCTCAATGACCTTCTTTATACGTCGAAGCAGAAAATATTCGAACAATTTTCCGAAGAATAACGAACTAGTAACTTTATCAGTGAAGTATTTCGTAATAACGGTGTCCGAGCGGTTCAATTTTCTTCCTCACTTCGATCGGTTGAAGGAGAAGCTGACAACGGTAGTTGGGATCATCAAGCGTGTTTTGCGGACCGATTGAGTAGGGGTGCTATGCGTGTCATATATGGTGGGATATTTGTTGCCTGTGGAACTTATGCTGCACCTATATGGTACATAACTGTCTCATCTGTCTTAGGGCTGAAGAAACTCCTTTGTGTCAGCGGGTCGTCATGTTAGTATGTTTGCCAGTGTGTCGCACTTTTTCCACAGATGCGTTGCAAGTTCTGCTCGGCGCCGTGCTGCTTTATCTTAAGGTGATATGTAGGGCTATCAAGTATAAGCTTAAGCGCAACGTTCTTAGTGGACCGGCCAGAATTTCGCTTCGGCTTCAGGACTGTGTTCTTACCGATGGGGCATGGTTCTCTCAATGCGTTTCTGCATAAAAGTGGTCTGTCCCAGACGGATTTATGTGGGTGCGGGATGGCTGAAGACTGGAAGCATATACTGACGGAATGCTGTTACTATGAAGATATTATAGATTTAACAAATATGGGTATATCGAATGGTGTTGGTACAACTAATTCTTCCCTCCACTAAATTGCTGGGAGGGGCTACTGAATGCTTCGCAGGGAATGCAAAATTGCAGTCTCTGAGAATTCTTCTTGTGTCCGGTTAATGTGTCGTAGCAGGACATCTTTGAACAATTTCTCGAAAGAAAACATACACGCGATAAATAGTCTGTAGCTTTCACGTAGACGAGGAACTACTCCAGATTTTGGGATTGGTACCGCTAATGCTTCCTTTCAGTAAACGGCTGGCCGCATAAGTGTTGCTGAATGCTTTGTACGAAATCCAAATTGATTCTTTGACAATCCTTCTTATCTCAATAGTTTCCACTCTGACCAGAATCTACTTCAGGTGTTGATATTGGCACCACTTCCCGTTAACGATTCGCAGGACAAGGTTTAATAAATGCTTTGAAGGTTCACAAACGCGGAGATTGGTCTGTAGCTTCCACGAAGATCAGAATCTACTTCAGATTTTGGGATTGGTGCCACTAATGTATTCTTGCAGTAAAATGCTCCTGTCGTGCTTTGCACGATTTGCACTACCGAAAACTCAATAGTGGATGTGGTTTTCTTTCGATCACTAAGCATATGATCGTCTCCAGGCTTTAAGAAAACTTTGGGACAGACTCTTCATGTTCAAATCTCTTTCAATTGTTTGTGGATTTTGAGGTGTATTTGGGAACAGTTTCAGTTGTTTTTTTTTATTTCGATTTACTTTTATACAAATTTTCCAACGCTACGTAGCTGGCTCGCCGCTCATCTCCTGGTCTTGAATTGTATCATCACTGACCTCTCGCTTTGTCTGCAATGGAAAATAAAATCAAATTAATGTTCTAATTTCAGGAAGTGCAAATGTTAGCGTTACCAAGGCCTCGGTTTTGGGCGGTGACAATGGTAACGGAAGTACTGGCGGAGCTGTTGGCTTGGAAAATGGCAGTCTATCCGACGAGGACGAGGAAGATGATGACGATGAGAATTTCTGGCATACTTCTGTGGGTAAATTTAAATTCACCTTGGATACATTGCCGCAGACCTTGCAGTATATACATCAGTTATTGACGGTGAGTCCAAAATTTCGGAACTATTCCATAGAAAAAAAATAATTTACGTACCTATGTTTTTATTACAGGAAATACCAACCATCAAAAAACCAGAAATACTCTACTACGTTCTGCAATGTTTAAATGTCATGGCCTTGCATGGTGATGCCCTGACAAAGGCTGCCCGAGAACATCGTGGTTTCTTTATATGGTGTCAGGAGAATTTACTGATAAAGAAGTAAGTCTAAAGATTTTTATTTTTCGGAAATTATCTTAATTGCGATTTGTTTCCTTTTCCAGCCTCTGGGAACTTTGCAATGCCGAACATTCGCACATCTGTCAAGTTGGAGTTCCGCTGCTTTTGCACTGCATTACATTACCCCTGGGTTCGGATGTATTTTGGCGTGTGGTCCAAGAGGCCTTTCACGATACCGATTGGCGTGTCCGATTCACAGCAGTTGAACGAGTCACTGTAATTACACGTTTTATGGATTCCACACCGCTGCGCACCGAAGTTGGCCTGCAAACGGCATTGGCTACGGCATTTTGTCATTTAATTGCCAGCATGGATGACATTAATGTCTATGTAGCCCAGAGGGCTACACTGTACATTGGAACCATACATGATACGGCAATTCGGTCACTCCTCTTCTGCTTGGAATCACAATTCGATTTATTTATTGTTGACCGTCCCGTGGTATTACAGTCAGTTTATCAGCTGCATAACTCTTTGTCGGATCGTAAAGTTTTGACATGGGAATTCTTTTTGAATCGTTTCGATACGTTGTTTGTGGAGGCCCAAATTACGCTGGAGAAATGTGGTGATATTTCTTATTTAAGAGATTTAAGGAATTCCGAAAATGGCAGTGAGGCTTTGTCATCGAAAATATTAAAGGCCCGTGAGGCCTTAAGTCAAAATGATTCGGCAACTGTGGGTATGGCGAAGACCCTGAGTGCATCGTTTGGCACCAAATGGCCCTATAAAAGAACCATGTCAGCACCGGCCAGCATGATACCCAGACAGGATTCGAAATTTGGTAAGTTTCCCCAGGAGTAAAAGAATGAAGAATTTTTATTGATATTTTATTTCGTTCGTTTACAGTACCCGACAAAGAGAAAATCTACAGCCGCCAAATATCGGCCCCAATCTTAAAACGGAAAACTTCACGCTTTGGTTTGGGTCAGTTTTTAGGCTCTAGTAGTGGAACTAGCCAAACATGTCCTAGTTATAGTTATCCAACAGCTAGCAATACATTAACACATCGTACGGCTTACAGTGCTCATATAACCACTCACTCTGTAACGTCGTCACATGCACACTCACAAGTCCCCGGTCCCGCTAACACCACCTCCTCCAATGTACCCTGTCCCATACACAATCCCACCACAGCACCCGGTCCTTCGGGATCATCCCAACATTTTGTCTTCTCCTCCAGTTCCTCATCCCATCCCGCAAATACCAGTAGTAGCATTGCACAAATAGCAACAACATCAACTTTAACCTCGACTCATAGTCAAAGTCATCAGTATTTAGTGCATTGTGTAGCGCCTCCTAGTCAAACGCTAATTCATAGTCCAATGCCAACGTTACAAGAAGCTGATCACCACAAGCAACAACACACCAAGTCCCAGCCCTCGACGCAATCCCACCAATACCCCTATCCCCTGCACTCCTATCATTCCCATTTCCAGAAACATCCGTCGGCACCGAATCTGCTGCCACCCCCACCACAATCCCTACCAGCAGCACCGGCACCCAGTCCCACTCCTTCAGCTTCAGCTATGCCAATGAGTTGTACTTGTGATGTCGGTTGCACGACCAGTGCTCATGTTCAACCGGCACCTCAAGGTAGGTTGTAGATGCATGCGATTTTACTGTCTTCTGTTCTGTCAAAAAATATGTCTGTCTTGTTCTCTCACGCTCTCTCTCTATCTCTCTGTATCTTTCGCTCTCTCTCTCTTATAAGTCTTGATGTGAACGAACGTCGTATCAACATAACTGATAATCTACTCCGCTACATATAATTGTTGTAACGGTGTTTTGTCTCTCTCTCACACACATACATACACCCACAAATACCACTCCGCTCTCTTGTTTAGAAAATAAAACTACCGTTATTTATTGTTCTACTCTAACATAGTTTTTTTATAACTAATTTATTTATTTGTTTATTTCTAATTTTTTTTATAAAAACTAAAAATGTAAAAAAATATCGACTACGAACTTGACTCCATCCATACAACGAACGCCTTGTATGTATATTCTCTCTCAATCTATCTCGCTCTGTGGTTCTCTGTTATTTGTACAAAACTGTAAAAACATGTACCTAAACAACTATGTAAATATGTAACCAAACTGTTTTTATAAAAATGCATTTAATTTCTTTTTTTATAATTCTTTTTTTAAAATAATAGATTTATGGCTAAATTTCCACAGGCCCAGCCATTGTATGGATTTTCCAGGCACATGTAATTTTATCGCTTTTAAAAACTCTTTGTACCTCTCCTAAGATTGCATCTTTCCTAACCACAAAAAAGACACTCTTGGCTTGCGAGAATAGAGTGTTCCCTGAAAAAAATTTGACTGTTTCCAAAATCGAAGAGATATTTACCCTGAAAAAAAAGCTTGAACGCATGTTGTTGTTGTCATATTTTTTCACACATCCATCCTACCAAACTGCAAAATCCTGATCCTGAAATACGAAATCGCTTGTCGAATGTTATCTTGACCCTTATGAAATTTGCATGTAAAATAGAGCTTATCCTTGATCTTCACTTTTTTTAAAAATATTTTTCCCTTGGACTTGTTGTTCCGATGGCGCTCAATTAGATGCGGAGTTGGTTGTTAGAATTTCGCCCAATTCCATAAAAGAATAGTGGCATATAAAAAACGTATTTATAATATCCCAAAGCTATAAATCATGTCTAAATTTTAGAATGGACTGAAGTCTTTTTGTTCTGATGGCGCCCAACATAAGGCAAGACTTTTTACAAGTTGAACATTGTGGGCTTCCGTTCCTATTATTTGATGTCTGCTGTTTTGAAGAAGACTTATGGTTGCGATGGCGCCCAATTGGAGGCAGAGATTTTGGTTAAAATGGCGCCCAACATAATACAAAAGTTGTACTTTCTCAAAGCTATAAATGCTGTCTAAATTTTGATGTGGACTGAAGATTTGTTGTTCCAATGGCGGCGAACTGAATGCAAGATTTCTTACAAGTTAATCATCCAATATTTGCCCCCTTCCAGCGTTAAGATTTGATGTATGATGTTATGTACGGCATATGACGGGCAATTAGGAGCAGAGATTGTTGTTAGAATGGCGCCCAACCTAAACAAGATTTGTGGCATATAAAAGACTGAACTTCAATGATATTTATTGATGTATACATTTTGGAGTGGACTGAAGACATGTTCCGATGGCGCCCAACTAATGGCATAACTTGTTACATACTGGACATCAAATATTTAGCTGAATATCAAATATTTAGCTGTACATAAAATATTTAGTAGTCTTGTAGCTCCGATGGCGCAATTGGCGCCCAATTAGGTATTGTTTCTAAAAATATTTCGAACTTAATACAAGAGTTACGACATATAAAAGGCTGAACATCAAACATGAATGCGAATGAGCCCAAAACTAATAATTGATGTTTGATTTTTGTTGTTCTAAAGGAGCACAACAAGGACAGAGTTTGTTGTAGCAATGGCGCCCAAATGATGACATGAGCTGTGGGATACATGAGTCTGAACATCAAACATATTTATACACTTCAGTGTTAATATTTGAAGTCCGATATGTTTGCAGTTAATTTGTAGTTCCAATGGCGCCCAACTTATTATAAAACAGTGATTATGGAGACAGCTGGAATTCATGCCATTGCACCATCCTGATCCTAATTGTGCTAATACCATTCGCTATTCACCTGACAATTGATTTTCCTCAAATCTCTGATATGTCTGTTGATCTAGAGGTTCTACTTGTAATTTTGCCAACTCTTAGTAGATCATGACGTGAGTGAAGTGGAGTTTCTCCCCATATGAATATGGTCCACTTTTGCAGCTCTCAGGAAGACGTTCTGACAGCTCCTGCGTATCACTTACCACTGGCAGGCTTATTACTGATGCCCGGAATATTATTATCCACTTGTTTGATAGATTTTTTAATCATTACATTATCTTTTGATCGTAAAACCTGGCGTATATGCTCCATGGATCTGAAGCATGTGTACTTGCGCAAGCAGATGAGGCAGCTCTTGGAGTGTTTGAGAGAAAAATTCTCCGGAAGATCTATGGGCCGATCGGGGTCGACGGTGAATATCGCCGTCGGATGAACCATGAGCTATACCACATATTCTCGGACATCGACATAGTCAGACGAATCGATCTGCAGCAACTACGTTGGCTAGGCCATGTTGCGAGAATGGATAAGGATTCCCCCACTCAAAAGGTATATAAAATCGAGCCAAGTGATGGTTCACGCTGTAGGAGAAGGCCACGAATCCAATGGAAAGATCAAGTAGAAGACAATATCTCGGAACATGGTCTTTCAAATTGGATTTGATGCGCACAATTCCGACACGCTTAGAAATTTTTTTTAGCACGGCTTATGGAACCACCGTTCTGTCACAAGCCAGCTAAGTAAGTAAGGTTTCGGGAAGGATTTGTGTGTGTCAATTAACAAATTGAGGAATTGAGGAATTTGGTAGGGTACCCGATACGGATCATCCAGTATTACCATTACCAGGTCCAACGCTTTGAAGGATTCATGCAAAGTCACTCATCCTAAACTGAGGAATTTAGTCAAGTACCCGATCCGGATCATCCAGTATTACCATTACCAGGTCCAACGCCTTGAAGGATTTATGCAAAGTCACTCATCCTAAACTGTGGAGGTATCTCCTCGGCAGGAATTCGTTGTTCTCTTCACTTCGTCCTGCCACTTTCGAGATTTTAGTCATGTACTCGACCCGGATCATTACCAATAACATTCTGTCCAAGTCCAACACTTTGAATAATTTAAAAATTTCAACGTCACTCATCGTATACTATGGAGGTACCTCCTCGACAGGCACCGATCTTATACGACATAGTACTCTTCGCCCAGGTTACAGGAGCGATACAATCATATTACAATACCAAAATTAAACCAAACTAGAATCCTACTTCCGATAGCGGCTGTCACGCTAGCGTCTATATTTACTCCTGAATCCGATACCGGACTTACTGCCGATTATACCGAAATGCTCATCACCAGCTTTCTCATCGACCTCTTTCAAAAAATGGCTTTCGACAAATTGGGGACTTCAGTCAGGTACACGTTCCCCGGTTCATCTAGCAGATCCGTTCCTGCCGTGCCCAAAGGGACGAAAACTGTGGAAATTTATATCAAGTTTATTGTGGCCCCTCAAACGCTTTTCATCGGCATAGGCAACCCCATATCAGTTTTCCTTTCCCATGACAACGTGTTTTAATTGTGTTAAGGTTCCCACTTCGACCCATTTCTGATTCACGGGAATCTGAGATTTGCTGGAGAGTAGGACGAAAATAATCAGGATTGGATTGGAGATTATGGTGCTCCAACCCAATCAATACCACCAACCCAACCAATACCACTCTCCATACTCCAACCGTAGAGACATGTCTGATAAGTTACCGGCATCTTCTCCAAAAGTTCTCGATCCTGATAATTCCACTTTTTGGCATGATAACCTCTTAATTCCAATCCCAAGAGTGCACGTCCGGCGTGTCTAACCGTCCCCCTGTGGACTGTGTCTAACCGTCCCCCTAAAATCCAATATAAGTATGGCTTTTTTGAACAATATTTTTTGATTTTTCTTCGTTTCTCTTAATACTAACCCCAAAATATGATGTTGAATTTTGCTCATAGAGAACGAAATGAAAACCGCTGTTTATTTTTATTATTTTTTTTTAATTTAAATATGACCCCTGCAAAAAAACTCTGGTATGTATTCCCTCCCACAAAAAATAATATATCCTTAATGTGTTTTCAACTAAAGCTTGACTAAATGCTTATTTAGAAACTTTTTTTTAATTTTGAAACCAATGCAAAAAAACAAACATAACCTTTAACAAACCATAACTAAATGTATAAACAAAATCTATTTTCCTATCTAGATGTAGTGTGTAAGTGTAAAATGTAATATAATATCAAAAAAAAAAAAAAAATCCAACTAAATCCAAATCTAAAATAAAGAGAAATGAACTTGTTTTCTCCAGGAATGGGGGAAATTTTCCTCGCTGGGGGAAAAAGTTCATTTTTCCTTACACCCCAATCTTTCTAATTGAAATTTGTAAAAAATATATTTATATTCATAATATTTCTTTATATTATTATATAATTTCCTTTCCCCCATTTAGATGGTCATATCCATTCGCTGAGCGGCATGAATGATGATGCCTTGGTTGGTCTGCTAAGTCGCATTACGGAATTGGAAGAATCGGATCGTGAAACAATACATTTGTTGGTGTTTTTATTAATGCAATTTATGTCAAGGCCTGATCAGGCTTTCCCCTCTGAGGATAAACCGATTTCGAAGACTCAGGGTATTGTCTTGAAACATCTGTTCTTGCTGTTGGGCCATAATCAAATTGACAAGACATTCCATACATCGCCGGAGAATTTAAGGTAATTTTGTGTATATATTTTCTACAAAAAAAATAAATACCGGACTAGGAACGTCAACATACCGAAAATTATATTGGACCTTTTTTATACCTGAATGTTCTGCAAAGAAAGTTTTTAATTCAACAAGCATCGGGAAAGCCAAATTACAGCGATTATGGTTCGAAAATTCTTGTAAAACCCAATACCGAAATGGAGCGGGACTAGAGGATATCTCAAAACATTGACATTTTAGTTTTCGCCATTCCATTGGCCACTCTGAGAGGACGTACGAAGGGTACGGAGCGATTCAGGTTTGCAATGAACGGGCGTGAACTGGGACCAATTTTGGCGAGATAAGGAGATTCCAGAGAGACAGGCGTGGTCAGAGTGATGTCTTCGTCACTAGAGGACTTAAGGGTACTGAACGTAGATGACCAGGTCGGCAAGTTGAATAGTGTCAATGGCGTACCCCTTGGTATACGTCGTTAAGCTAAGCCAAATAAGGTCCAATGATGGATCCGTGAACTAGGTACGGTGCGGTGGAAAGTTAGGTTTAATGAAAATATCCCAAAGAAACAGGCTCGCCAATGCGGATGATTTAGACAAACTTAAATTTGAGTTCCTTGCTGCTCTTACGATGCTCTTACGGGACTCAAGTCTTCTTCCCATTCTTGGAAAAGTTTTGGAGAGAATTATGGTTGCACGGCTTAGGTTCGGTTTGCGCGGTACTAAGCATTTCGGTATTGGAAGGTACGGGGCGTGGTCTGGGACCATTATGCGTGCTGTGCCAGGGCTTTGTCACATGAGGATTTTGGGGAACTGACAGCAGATTAGCAGATCGGCAAGTTTAGTGAGTGGATGAACAGCGTCAATGATGTACTACCACACAACCGTTGTCATGAGCTAGGTACGACGCGGCGGCAAAAGGGAGACAGGCTCGGTAATGCGGACGATTTTGCTCAACGTAAATCTGAATTCGTTGCTGCTCTTAGGACGTCTGTGAACTAGCTGTCTATTATCTATTATCCTACTGGATAATAGAAATAACCTTGACATATTGTATACCATGTGTGCCGGCATGATCTACAGGAAATAAAGGAGACATTTGGAGGAAATTCATATGGGATAATAGAAATAATTATTGAGGTATTGTTTACCGTGCCGGCATGGTAGCTTTAAGAAGTAGTAAATTTCCAGGTATGAATGGTTTGATTGAAAGTTTGCTTAAAGTCATCGGGAAGGTCCTGCCGCAATATATCGAGTCCGTTTTCACCACTAGCTTTCTCGGTTACTTCCCGATTGCATGGAAGTATGAAATTATGGTTGCACGGCTTAGGGACCACAGTCGTTGGGTTCCCACGGCACTAAGCATTTCAGTGTTGGAAGAAACGTGACGAGGACTGGGATCATTATACGCACTGTGTCAGGGCTTTGTCACTAGAGAACTTTGGGAAACTGAACGAAGATGAGTAGATCGGCAAGTTGAATGAATGCATGAACCGTGTTAATGATGTACTTCCGGGCACACGTTGTCACTTTAAGCCAAATAAGATCAAATGACCGATCCATGATTTAGGTACGATGTGGCGGCAAGAGAGAGACAGGCTCGCTAATGTAGATTATTATTTTGCTCAACATAAATCTGAATTCGTTGATGCTCTTAGGGCCTACGAGAACTAGCTGTCTTAAAGTAAAGAAGACAAATGCGGTTTCCTACTGGTTAATAGAAATAACCCTTGACATATTGTATACTATGTGTGCCGACATCGTGAGTCTAAGTGTCAAGTTTATCTACAGGGGTTACGTACCAGCTCTACGACGATCACCTCGAGATGGGGGAAAACCAAGGGCATTTACTAGGAAATTTCTTTCGTGGTAGGAGACTTTATCATTTCCTTCGTTGTTTGATGAGTTGTGAGAGCCTCCGGATTTGGATCGTATAGGAGATCCGATTAGAAATAGGAAATCACAAGGTATGCATGGTATGGCTGGATAGTTGCTTAAAGCCATCTGGAAAGTCATTTCGTTTTTACCAGTGTCATTATGTAGGGTCACTTCCCGAGAGCATGGAAGGGCGCCCAAGTAGTGGTGTAGCTTAAGTCGCCCGATCGAGTAATCCGCGCCTGTGTCGGGCCTAAGTCTTCTTCCAGTTCTTGGGAAAGTTCTGGAGATGATTATGGTTGCATGGCCTAGGGAATGCTATAGTGAAGCTACACCAGTTCGTGCGGCATTAGGTATGCGAGCACCGTAGGGTAACTAGGAATAGCTATATCCGAGAGAATGAATTTTCTTGTACACTTTGATCGGTTGAATGAGAAGCTGACAGCGGTCTTCTCGACCGCCAAACGTATTTTTTGCGGACAGATGTACCATATATAGAGGGGCTGTTCGTTGCCTGGGCAAATTATCGTACAAAGCCAGTTAGACTGCTAGGTCAGAGGAAGCTCCTTTCGAGTCAGCGGGTTGTCATGTTAGCATGTTTGCAAATGTGTCGAACTGCATCCTTTCAATTGAGCTAGAGCGAAGGTTTTCCATACCGCGGGTATACGACTTCACGGTTCACGCGGCATAAGGTAGGTATCCGAAAGAATAAGTTCCCTTGTACACTTTGGCGCGTGTTTTGCGGACTAATTCAAATTAGTAGAAGATTCAGCTGTGAGGTGAGCCTGAGCGGAGGTTTTCTGTACAGCGGGTGCCCCATATCTGTGGATCTAACACAGTAGTTGGTGTGGTTCCTTGGTTAGATTCGAGGGATGTATACGGATGAACTCTCCAAGGAATGTGCCTTATGTATACTCTCCGATTGGTATAACACTAGGGTGCCCTTGCGCTAGTGGGTGTTAATCCAAGTGTGGCCCAGTCACCTACACGTTTTATTTAACCTATATAAAATAAATTGTTCTAACATTCTCCATTTTTTATTCTCTTGCAGAGCCTCTGCTGTCTTCAATGCCTTTATGGCCAATTTACCACAAGTTTTGGATCAAAATCACCTAATTGGTGGACTCATTTTACCCTCCGTTATGCAGGTGATACTCTATGCCCCCAATCCGAATAATAATGCCGCCGATTCGTATCAAAATCTTGTCTTCAATTATTCCCTCTGGTATTTGGAACAATACCCGCGTCGTAATTGGATGTTTACTATGCTTGTCGTGCTCTACAAGTATTCTTATACCCAACCTCCGCAAAGTGGTTATGTAAACTCAGCCATTCGCATTATAATGAATAGTTTACGTAATCATTTTCATCAGTGTCGTCGTATACCGACGACTACGATTTTGGATATACAAGGTACTTCTAGATCACGAGATGTTAGTCAACCGTCATTGGGCACGGATCCCGATGATAAGGAACAAAGTCCACCGGCCAGTCCGATGTTTCCGTCGGAGGGTACAAGTGGCGCCTCGAAGAGTAAGGGTCAGAATGTGGCCTTTACACCGAAGTTGCAGCATGCTTTTAGGAAATATAATGACTCGAGTTTGGATGCAGATGAAACTGAATCGGAATTGGTGGCCATACCGGAAAGTGATTTGTCGGATAGCACCTTGCATGGTAGTAGTGCACCGGTAAGTAAATTTCACTCCCAAACAAACAAATTAATTAATTGTTGTCTGACTCTTCCAGGGTTCCTTTGATGATACCATACACTTCGAGGAAATCACACCCTCCAAATTGGAAGCTTTGCGTAATCGTCGCACCGCCGAGGATAATCTGAAGAATCAAAAGACCATGATTACCACAAAGACCGGAGATACTTATACGACAAAAATTAAAACCACAGCTGCGGAAACCGTTTCCACCACCGTTGTGGCCACTCACTCACGCCATAGTCTCCAAGAGGGCGTACGCATGATTGTTACCCCCTTAGTGGGCACCGAACCCTCGGAAACAGCTATCATTAGTCCTCCTGTAGATGTTCATAGAGCTGTTACCGTGCGCAATAAATCTCAATCTTCAGACACGGCACATTCTGCAACTTCGAAAATGTTTGCCGCAATTGCCACGAACCATTTGAAGGCCTTGGGTGCCCTACAAGATATACCAGCCAAAATTACCGACACCACGAAATCGCAATCTTCGGCAAGTTGTTCCCGTTCCGCAAATGGTAGCTCGGCTGAAAGTTCAGACAAAAAATCAAGTGCCAAATCATTGACCGTCGAACAGCCACCGCTGCAGAGTGCTGCATCTAAGAAACCCATGGGCAGACATAAGACCATCATTGAATGCAGTGCTGGAACTTCATCTTCCTCGAATGGTAACGATGATTCCCGGCTAAGTGCCAATCACAAAAAGGCATCCAGCAAATCTTTGAAATCCAAATCGGAAAAAGCCTACGGTTCCCCTGATTCTCCTCTTTCGAAAATGAGCGTCATGCCCAATCCGGTGGATGAACTGGAACAGAATAATCTACCACCACCTAAAAATATTGCAGCCCTAGAAATCCCAACCCCTGAACGTCTGCTACCCATTGGCACCCAAGAAAGTGTGTCCGCCATTGCTGAGCGTATGCGTGAAGGTTTAAATTTACCCGATATAAGTCATCTGAAACAGGACAGCTTAGATGTTTCGGAAAGTACCAAGGGAGATGTAACACCCAGTAGTCGTACCAATTCACCACGACGTTTAATTAAACAAGTTGCTTTGGAAGAGCCCAGTGGACATCAGCAGCATGGTGCCACAACACCGCTACCCCGTGAGGATGGTGGTCCTGATTTACATACATCGATTTTGAAAGCGGTTCAGGAGGGTAAACTAAATGGTGGCGGTGGTGGAGGAGGAGGTGGAACTACATGTGCCACCGCAACTGGGGCTAATGGTAATGGTTCGGCAAATATTCCCGCTAATACTGCAACACGTTCGGATAGCTCCAAGAAACCAAGGCAAAAAATGACACCATTTGCCGTTGACATCAATGCCATACCGGATATACGTTCTCGTTATGCCGGGTCATGGCCACCACCACCCTACCAGCCACCAGAAGATCCCGATGATGATTTGGACGAGGGCCAGGAAAGTAGTACTCACGCCCCGCATATTACACAGCCGAATCGAGTGGTAAGTATGAGGGGTATTCTACTTTTTCTTTCTGGGTGTTGAAAAAAATATTTTTGTTTAATCCACGCTTTTTATTCTTTAAAAATCCACGCCTTTAAAAGTCTACGCCTTTAAAAGTCTACGCCTTTTCGGGGTGTTTAAAATTATTCATTAAAAATCCACGGTGTTGAAAAAATAGCCTTTGAAAATCCTCGCCTTTTTCGGGGTGTTGAAAAAATATTATTTCAAAATCTTCACCTTTTTCGGGATGTTGAAAAAATATTCTTTAAATGCACTCCTTTTTCGAGACTTCACTACAGGCCGTGGATATGGAATTAGGATCCTCTTAATCGCCAAGGTTTACGTCCCTACTCATCATCTGAGAGGACTCACCTTGATTTGGATGAGTCACCAGGATTGCTACTGTATTTGTCACTATCTTCCTTGTCTGTCAAGGGTGACTGGTCCCAGAGTTGATTCGGGATGCCCCCCTACTAGGACGGAAGGAGCCGGTTTCCTCCATAAGGTTGAGGAGAAGACCCTTCTGCCTCTCCAGGCTTTCGTTTACGTCGTCGAGAGTAACGGGGGCTGCGGAAAGTGTGGTCCAGTGGAATAGCGTGGGTCGTCAACATTTGTGGGGGTTTAAGAGTTCGAGACTGAGGGTGCCACAGCAGCCACACCAGTATCAGTCAAAAATCGCATACATTGTTTTTAAATTTTTGGATGGGGTTGTTAAAATTCGGCTCCATTGAAACAGATTTTAGTGAGGATTTGAGATCGGCCATGGCATAACCTTTTACCATGGTAAGGACTCGACAACTAAGCTTGACCAAACTTGTGGAGGCGCCCAAGTATCAACAAGGCTCCGTTCAAATACAGTCGGGAAATGTCGGACCCTGACTGCAAACCGTAAAACACTGATGAGCACGAGGTCGCTTGACACCACAGCGTTAGGGAGGTCACTTTGGAATGTAGTTACCCAAAACCTTTGAGATGGATATTTGGGATCATGGACACTCGGTCGGTTTCCTCCGACACTCTCCCCCAGGAGCCACTGATTGTCCGTGACTGTTTATTTGAGATTCACAGCTACCCAAAGAATAATATTGGGCTTCCAACTATTCGTAACCTGTGGACGAGTCCGTTAGCATTCAGCTCTTCTGCCCGAAGGCGGAGTGTTTGGGTGTTAAAAAATATTCCTAAAAAATGCCTTATTATTTTGGGTGTTGAAAAAATATTTTTTAAAAATTCCGATTTCAATTTTTTCCTCAAATTTCCATTACAGAGTAGCAGACGTGTCGGCGATTATACGGTATGCGATCGCTGCTCCGAATGTGGTGCTTTATTGGAGGAATATACCGATGAGGAAATAGGTCTGCTCATTGTTATACTGGGTACATTTATACATCGTGAACCGGCAATGGCTGCACCATTCCTACCGGAAATATTAACCATTGCATCCAAGTAAGTTCCAACAAAATTTTACACATTCGAAGTCCGACTAACAAATATTTTATCTTCATAAGAATTTCTTCCACCTCTACGTTTGCCTGGCAAGGAGAAAATGGTCCACCCTTGGTTTGCAGTGCCCAGGCAATGGCATTGCAGTTTTTGAGATGTGTGCTGCATCAATTAGCTCCGAATGGTATTTTCCTGCAGATACTACAAACCGAAGTTGTCAGTAAGTAGATTCGAGATTTCCTTATTTTCAGAATTGGTATATAAAATTAATTCCTTTCTCTTCCCTTGCAGTGAAAGTTCGTCGCACAACCTTCCGCAGTATTGCCAAGGCCTTGCAAGATTTCCAAGAGTTGAATGCCTCCAGTCCCATATATATGGTCTGTGAAGCGTTGCAGGCGAAAAAATCCCTTCCCTTGGAATCACTACCCATAATATTCCGTAATATGTCAGAATATCTCCAGTGTGTTGCTCCAGATGCCAATATCGTACAATCGGCATGGCCACAAGCTATGGCCAGTCTCGAAAGTCTTCTACGACAAGTTATTGTCATATTACCGAATATTACCAATCACGATTATCTGCTGGATTTAATTGTATCAACATTGCGTTTAAATTGTGTACCCAAAACACTACTCGATCCATATTCAAAAATTGTTGCCTATTGTGTGCAGCATACAAATCTAGAGTATTCCGTACTCTATGATATTTGCGTCTATAGTCGTTCATTCTCACGTGATCGTGATAAGCAGTATTTATGCCGTCAACTGATTTTTGAATTTGTCCAAGCGCTGAAATTTAAAATCAACATTCCCGATCATAATTTGCTAATGATTATTGGATTTGTTCTATTGGATGCTGGTGGTACTTTGCCACCGGGAACATTGCCGGGTATACCGGAAATACCTTCTGCATTGCCTACGAATGCATCGGACTGCTTGAGACAGTATATTAATGATGTTATTGATTTCTTGGCGGATTTCCATACGCTCAGTAAGATTAAGGTAAGTTGGAAACGTCTAATTTATTTGTATATAAACACTCAGCCGCTTTGACTCGTCTATATAGAGACACCTCAGATAGTCTTTCTAAAAACTCCCTGTCATATGAAGCTTTACTGCCCCTCCTTCAGACCCTCTATTTAAAGACTACCTGTCCCAACTTTAGCATCTCTCATAAATACATATACCTCATGACCCGTCTTCAGGTAACCTAAATGTTCACTTCCCGTTCCAACACCTGGGTCTACATTCATTTCTTCTCAATACTAAATAAATGATTTACCATTATTTCTGCTCCTTGAGCTCGTGAAAAAACCTTCCACGGGTTTCAGCTGATTTCCTGGACCTTGAGCACCTGATATCCTGAACTTTGGGCTATCTAGACCTTCATGCTATCAGTACATTGTTCACCTATATAGACCCCACGCATATAAACCCCCACAAGCATCAGCCTGACTATATTGACTATCTAGGCTTCAGTTCGACTACATCGACACATTAATCTTTAGTTCTCCTATATCGGCACCAATTCACCTACGAAGACTCCCTGAGAATTAGCTGACCTATATGGACTTCTTCAGCCTCAGGTCGTTTTCACAGATTCTCTGAGTTTCAGCTAACATGTATAGACTTCCTGAGCTGCAGTTCGTCGATATAGACTTCCTGAGCCGTTCGTTTATAAACTCTCTCTCTCTCTCTGAGCTTCAGATCGTCTATAAAGATTCTCTGAGCTTCAGTTCGCCTATAAAGACTCCTCAACTTGTCTATAGAGGCTTATGAGCGTCAACTCGTCTATATGCATTCCTTGGGCTTCATATAGTCCTTAAAGAATCAGCTAATTTATAGACTCCCTCTTCTTACCTATAAAGACTGCCCGAGCTTCATCTGACCTATATACAATCCCTGAGCTTCGACTCGCCTACATAGAATACCTAAGACTCCCTGAGGTCCAACTCGCCAATAAAGAATCCTTGAGCTTCAGGTCGCTTGTAAAGACCCTGTGGCTCAATTCGACTATAAAGTCTCCCCGAGCTTAAGGTCGTCTTTATTGACTTCCTTGACAGGCCGCTTAATGGACTGAACTTCAGCTCACTTATAGAGAAAACCTTCAGCTCGTGTATAAAGACTCTCATCAGCTCGTCTATAGAGGGTCACGTCAGCTCATCTATAGAGGCTCCATTCAGACTCGTCTATAAAGACCCCTTTCTGCTATAAAGACTCTCTTCAACTCGTCAATAAAGACTACCTTTAGTAGTCTATAAAGACTCCCTTCAGCTCGTCTATAAAGACTCCTTTCAGCTCGTCTATAAAGACTCCCTTCAGCTCGTCTATAAAGACTCCCTTCAGCTCGTCTATAAAGACTCCCTTCAGCTCGTCTATAAAGACTCCCTTCAGCTCGTCTATAAAGACTCCCTTCAGCTCGTCTATAAAGACTCCCTTCAGCTCGTCTATAAAGACTCCCTTCAGCTCGTCTATAAAGACTCCCTTCAGCTCGTCTATAAAGACTCCCTTCAGCTCGTCTATAAAGACTCCCTTCAGCTCGTCTATAAAGACTCCCTTCAGCTCGTCTATAAAGACTCCCTTCAGCTCGTCTATAAAGACTCCCTTCAGCTCGTCTATAAAGACTCCCTTCAGCTCGTCTATAAAGACTCCCTTCAGCTCGTCTATAAAGACTCCCTTCAGCTCGTCTATAAAGACTCCCTTCAGCTCGTCTATAAAGACTCCTTCAGCTCGTCTATAAAGACTCCCTTCAGCTCGTCTATAAAGACTCCCTTCAGCTCGTCTATAAAGACTCCCTTCAGCTCGTCTATAAAGACTCCCTTCAGCTCGTCTATAAGACTCCCTTCAGCTCGTCTATAAAGACTCCCTTCAGCTCGTCTATAAAGACTCCCTTCAGCTCGTCTAAAAAGACTCCCTTCAGCTCTTCTATAAAGACTCCCTTCAGCTCATCTATAAAGACTCCCATCCGATCGTCTATAAAAACTGCCATCCGACCGTCTATAAAGACTTCCTCCGATCGTATATAAAGAATCCAATCCGATCGTCTATAAAGACTCCCATCCGATCGTCTATAAAGACTCCCATCCGATCTTCTTAAAGACTCCCATCCGATCGTCTAGAAAGACTCCCTTCGAATCGTCTTTAGAGGCTCCCTTTAGCTCATCTATAGATTCTCCATTCATATTCGTCTATAAGGACTCTCTTCTGCTATTCCATAAAGACTCCCTTTTGATCGCCTATAAAGATTTCATCTACTTCGATTGAGCAATATAGAGTAGATAAAGGCTCCCATGATTTTGTCTCTAATTTTTGTTCCTTGTCTCATTTCCAGAATTTCAAAAATTCCCAAACCCAAAATGGTTTGGGAGAAGACACATTGGGCGGTGTCTTGAAGGGAGCTGTTTCTCAATATTTAGCCTTGGAAATGTCGAGAGGAAATTCACGAGACAACAAGGCCGTAGCGAGGTATCTACCATGGCTATACAATGCACCCTCATCGTTGCAGCAAGGGTAAGTCTGGAATAAATAAAATAATGTATCTTATAAAGACATATTTAATTATCTCCCCTAGTCCTAAGGAATTCACTGAATGCGTGGGCCACATGCGTCTACTCTCCTGGCTACTACTTGGCTCTTTAACCCACATGGCGTTGATGCAAAGACGTGCAGCCATTCACATTTCCCCAACAGCTAATCAACCTACAACGACCACAACAAATCCGCAAACAGGTGGTCATCATCCATCGTCACATCCCAATTCGAGTCATCAACCAATACCGCAAGAAGCTTCCTGCCACATTGCTGATCATATTCAAGTTATATTTGCCGGTTTTGCAGAACAATCGAAAACATCGGTACTGCATATGTCTTCCCTTTTCCATGCCTTTACATTGTGCCAATTGTGGACTGTGTATTTGGAACAAATTGCACATACATCGAATAATCCAGAGGGTAATACAATGGGTGTACTTTTCGAATTTTGGGCTAAGGTGACACCATGTATTTTGCAATTGGTGTCACATTCCAAGCATAAGGATTCCAATGATTTTTCACAGAATTCCAATGCAAAGGTAAATACTTTGTTATTCCATCGAACTTCCATAACTCGAACCACCATTATCCCGAAAAAATATCGTCTTACGGAAAGTTCGAGTTATAGAATTCGACTGAATTTCATTTCTTTAAAATTAAAATTAATTAATTTTGATATTTTAGCTTTCGGAAATGGTTAATTTGCATTTCTTGAGTCTACTGGAAGCATTGAAGGAAACCAATTCAACGATTTTGAGTAAGCTGTTGCCATTATGGAGTCCCGTATTGTCATCACATACTCAGGTACTTTTTACAGATTTGGTTTAATATAAATTTCAGCTGCAATACGATTTTTTCTTTTTATTTCATTTTAGCTTTCGGATACTCTGCATGTACGCCTACAAAATGTCCGTGACTATGCTCCCGACTATGAGGAACAACAAACGAATAATGCCGAAGTCCTTTTGAAGTGGCTGCAACGTCTGCAATTTAAAATGGGACAAATTGAGCTGCAAGCATCCACCGCAACACAATTCTATTCAATATAAATTAAAGAAAGAAAAAAAACAAGTTAATTTAAGTTAAATTAAATTAAAAAATTACAATTATAATTTAATAATGATAGGATAATTAGAAGAGAAAAAGAACCGGTTACAATAGAGCCCAGCTCTTTTGCGATTTTTTGAAATGTTCTTTTTGTTTTATAATCACAACAATCTATGTTAAACAATTGATGTGTATGTGTGTGTTTTTGTAGTAAAAAAAACATCAAACAAATAGCCAAAAATTTACATGTTGAATGTTAATGTGTCCAAAAAGAAATAAATAAAAAGAATTGAAGTAATTGAAATTAAAATTAGTCTATTTTTGTTCTTAATCATAGACGGTGTAATTAACACCACTTGATTTCTCTTCATCGAGGGGATCGGTAACTTCATCTTCTTCATTAAATGTTTGATCGCCTTCAATTTGATTGGTTGTTCTCTTTTCCGTCGAACGATAATTTGTAAAGGATGGATTCGATTTTAAGGCATCTTCATTTGGTAGTTTCATTTTGATCTTTTCCATACGTTTAAGTTTGGCAGCCAACCGTTCTGTTGCTTGTTTTTCTTGTAGCTCCTGGAATGGTAAAAAATAAATTAATTAAGCTCTGTATAATTTATTTTAAAGGGTATTTCCCACCTCTGACAAAATCGTCTATAAAGATGTTTAAAAAGTTTCAAACAGGAAGTCTTTTATCTTCTGAAATCATGAAAAAAGCTTCTAAACAGCTAATCAACCAACTATGACCACAACAAATCCTCAAACTGGTGGTCATCATCCATCCTTACACAACAATTCAAGTCATCAACCTATTCCGCAAGAAGTTTCGTACCACATTGCCGATCATACACACGTTATATTTGGCGGCTGAACAATCGAAAACAACTTCTGTAATGAATATGTCATTCCTTTTCCATATAATATCTTCCGTTTGACACCTGATTCATCGGAATTACATAGAATAATTATAAATATAGTTCCTGGAATAGTTTCGACTTGCTTATATGGACTCCCTATCATTGCACAATTGAACTGACATCACTGATTTCAATTCAAATAATCCTTTAGGTCGCTTTTATAGAGACTTCGTAGCCTGATTTCCGATCATTCATATATTAAATGGTTCCAACTATAGATGCCTTTGCCCATCTTCCGGCGGTCTAAATATTTTCACTCACTCGTGCCGTGCATTCTCTTGTCTATAAAAATGCCTTAAGCTTCTGGTCGCCTATAATAACCAACTTAGCTTCAGTTATAAAGACTCCTGTGCATCATCTCTCCTACATAGGCTCCTTGAGTTTCAGCTCACATATAAAGACTTCCCGAGCTTCAGTTCTCCTATGAGGTATCCCTGAGCTTCAGCTCGTCTAAAAGGTTCCATGAACTTGGGTTCTCCTAAATAGAGTCCTTGTGCTTTAACTCACCTATATAGAATCTTTGGGATTTAGCATACCTATACAGACTTCGTGGTTTTGAGCTCGTCTATAAAAATTGCCTAAGCATCAGCTCGGCTATATTGACTTCCTAGATTTTAGCTTGTCTTTAAAGACTCCCTGATCACCTATATAGACTCTTCGGCATTTAGCATGCCTACACAAACTACGTGATCTTCAGTTCACCCATATGGACTACCTGAGTCTCACCTCGTCAATATAAACACCCAGAGCATCAGCTCACCTTTATGAACCTCCATGATCTTGAATTCACCTAAAGACAGTCCTTGAGCTTCAGCTCACCTATAAAGACTCTCGCGGACTGAGCTACATTTGAACTTCAACTCGGCTATAAAGACACTCTGAGCCTCAACTCGCCCTAAAAGACTCTCTGATCTTCAGCTCTTTCAGATTGACTCCCAGAACCTCAGCTCGCCTATATTGATTCCCTAGACACAGCTTGACTTTAAAGAGTCCCTGAACTGACCTCGCCTAAATAGACTCCTTGAGCTTCAACTATCCTATTAGGTATGTCTGGGCTTCAGCTCGTCTGCAGAGCCTCAGCTGCCTATAAAGACTCCCTGAGACTCAGCTCGCCTATAAGGACTCCCCGAGCCTGAGCTCGTCTATATAAACTACCTGAGCCTCAACTTGCCTATAAAGACTCCATGAGCCCCAACTCGTCTATAAAGACTCCCTGAGCCCTAACACGACTATAAAGACTCGGTGATCTTCAGCTCGCCTAAATTGACTCCCTAAGCTTCATCTGGCCTACAAAGACTCCCAGAACCTCAGCTCGCTTATTAACACTCCCTGAGCTTCAAGTCACCTATAAAGACTCCCTGAGCCTAAGCTCGCCTACATGGAGTCATTGAGCTTCAGCTCATCCATATGGACTCCCTGAGATTCAGCTCACCCAAATAGACTTCCTAAACTTCAGCTCGGGACACACCTTTAAAAAAGGGGCTTTGCCAAAATCTTAAGGGAATTTTTCCGCCAGATGGTATTTTAAGCTCTGAAATCACATAAAAGCCTAACTGAACCATTTCGAATAGGGCGGTACTCTGTCCAAACATAAAGTGTTATGTAGAAAATCTGTCGCTCCATTTCAACTATTTGTATAGTCCTAAGCAAACATTTTTTCTACTATAACTAACACACCAACTCACCTTCAGTCTTTGCAAATAATCCGCCTGAATTTCCACAGAATCCATTAAACTCAGCAGCTGGGCAGCATTGTGTTGTATGGGTGGCGGTGTGGCTGCAGTGATTTCCCAATGTTTACCCTTTTTACGTTCACGTTCTTTTGTGGGATCATGAACATTTGATTTTGTTGTACGGAATGGCAGGAATTTTTCTTTTTTCTGTGGTGATACATGCAGCTCAGTCTTCTCCACCAAATAATGGACATGGGGATCTAATTCTACTTGTGATAATGAACTAGAGGGTCGGGAATTATTTAACGAAGAATTTAAACTGTTATTAAGACTTTCTAATTTAGGCTTTAATGATTCCAATTTGGCACGAATATCAATGGAGACAATTTCAGCATCGATACCTTCAGTGTCTTCGGTATCATTTTCATTACTTTCCGAGGTAGGTTTGGTTGTAATCTCTTCATTGGAAGTAGATTTATTATCGTCCGTTGTTTTAATTTTATCAGCATCCTTTTCTGTAGCCTCTGTTGTCCCAGACGATTGTGATTCGCCCATATTGTTATCTGCATTAATGCCCGAATCTGGCGAGTTGCTCTTAAATGACTCGATTTCTTTTAAATCTTCTTCGGTAATAAGTTTTGGTTCCGGCTTTTCTATTTTCACTTTACGTTCGTGCATTTGTTTCTGTGCAATAATACGCAATGGATCCATTTCCAACTCATCATCACTATCCAAAACATCATCCAATGGATCACCGCCGTCCTCGTTTGTATTAATTCTCCCCCGCCATTCCATATCATTGAGCGCTTTCTGACCTTTTGAAGCAATATTCAAACCAGAGAACATCTTGGCCGCTTCATCAACATTCGATCTACGATTCAATTCGGCCACAACTTTGTCATAGAAATCCTGTATGCGCTTTCCCTTGTCTGGTAGTTTCTGTAATTTTGCCCTATAAAGAGGAAATCATTTCATTTTAGAATATTTTGTGGTTTTATGTTCAATGAACTTACTTGTTGGCCAATAGTTTGGCCTCCCGCTCTTTAATATCCAACAGTTCCAACTGTGTCAGCTTTGTTAGATCTTTAACGTGTACTTCTTTCTTGGCTATCGGCATTCCAGGAATGCGATTTAGTGTGGGTCGGGGAATTGTGGCCATTGCTCTTATTATTTACTATTTTTTAGCTAATTATTGTTGTATTTTTATTATTGTTAATTAAAATAAATTATTTCCCAAGCAAACGAAGCGAATTGTTTTGGGTAGCTCACATTCAGAGTTTGCTAATTACAACCCTGTAAACCTGAGGTGAAAGCAAACGAGCCGAGGACCAACCGTGGCGAATGAGAATCAAAACAAACGAGAGGAGGACCAACCAACAGCTGATCACAATTTGAACACAGTTGATCAGCTGTTTGTAGTTCCGGAACGAACTAGTTCATTGAATAACACTTCGTTTTGTTATTCACTATAACATGATAACAAATTGTTCTGTGGACTATAAAATAAGAAAATTTTGCGTTCTCGTTTACATCGTACTGGATATAACTAAAAGGATTTAATTAAATAGTAAAATAAGTAATAATTATTTCCTAAACAAACGAAATTGTTCGCGAATGAGTGCAACAAACAAATAGAGTTGGGTAGCTCCGGAACGAACTAGTTCATTGGAACTATTCCGAGAAAGGAACGATCGGAACTAGTTCCAACACTTTAATTAATATATTTCCTTTTTCTGATCTCGTTCCTTTTTGGTATCGTTCTTTATTCTTATTTCGTTATTTTTTCTGAGCTCGTTCCTTTATTTCCATATTTTTCATTCGTTCGTTTTTCAAATGCTGTCACTTTGTTGGAGCAAAGGAACTATAAATCCCTACTACAATGAAAACAAAACATTCAAAGTGAGTTGATAGCCCAACTTAACATTGGTATGTGTTCTAGCGACATAACAAACTCAATAAAGGGGTTTAATTTAAAGGGGTTTAAAATCCGATGGGGCGTACAAAAATATTCAACTTCCCCACTATGGCAAAATGTTGTTACCCAAATACGTCGTATCCCTATCTTCAAGCAAATAATACAAACCGCAAAACAAAATTGAAAATTTATTAAATGAATCCACATATTTTTAGTTTCCATTCGAAATTTCAAATTTCCTGAATGTTTTGTTTTTATTTTCAACAAAAGAAAAAAATTAAAAATACGTTCTGTCAAAGTTGAAATTGTTTAACTTTAAATTTTGTACGTTCGACGTATTTCGGTAACATTCATATAAATATATGTGTTCTACTTTTGTGGTGAAAAACATCGAACGAGCTAGTGGAATTTTAGGTAAGACTGTTAAGATTATTTTTTTTTAAGGTCTATCTATTGATTAAACCGTGGGTTTGTTATAAAAACCAGGACTTTTTATGCGTTATGTTTTAAAAAAAAATCTTTTAAAAATGTCTTTGAGAAACATTTCAAACTAATATTTTTTAATTACTACAAAGGTATGAGTTTTTATACACTCCTTGAAATATTCGTCGCTGAACCTATTTGTCCGTCGATTTTGCAATGTCCGTCTGTTGGTTGAAAGATATAACTCTGAAAATTTGACAGATGGTTGAGACAAAACAAAAGGTTTTTGTTTTGATACATCACCTTATTATTGCGTCATGGATGCTGCTGTATTTTCAAATTCCCTGTTTTTGGAGGGTTACATGCAGAAATGTTCGATATTGGTTAATATTTTTATGTATTTTAAATGTTTTAGCCGCATTTTTCCCACCAAAGTTGATTTAGTGTCGGATCACAGTTTCTTGTAGGATAAAAATTCTTTATTTTAAGAAATTGTTCTATAAGGTGCATGTTTTGGCATAGACTGAATTCATAGGTCCCAACCGTTTTCAGATATTTTAAATATAATTGAAGCTTTTTATGAACAAAGGGCTGTGATTTAAATTTCTGGGACATAAGAGAAAACCTACTCTTTGCAATGATATCGAAGAAAATAGAAACATCTAGTAGATTCTTTCAGAACGGGAATATACCAATAATATTCATGTTTTGACATGGCACCAGTGTACAGGTCCAATGCCATTTGATATATATATTTTTATGGTTCAGAAATTCTTGGTTCGGCTTTGCCTGAGAATGTTCCAGTGAAACTTTACCATTTGGCCGGAAATTATTTTTCCCAAACGTTAATGGCAATTTTTACTATTTTTTCCAAATCATAAAGGAAATTTTATTATCGTAGCAAAAAGTTGTAGATTCTTGAAGTACGGGAACAGACCAACTCTCTGCAGCAACGACATAGTGATATTTCACTGGTAATAGCAGATTGACATCCGATCCTATATACTTTTGTTTGGTGGAGTTGGCAAAAAAAGTATTTCTAAAGGATATTTTTCAACAACCAAGAGATTTGCGATTTTTTATGGAAATTTAATACTGGAAAGAAGCGAGAATTTTTAAAGGGTTCCTCGCAGATTTAAAGAGAATGTTTTTCCAATGGTTTTCAAAGTCTGGATTAAAAAAAACTTTCAACTGCTAAAAGAATGCCTTAAAAAAACAGAAAGTGTTAAACGAATATTTTATGAACGTCTATTGAAAATTTGATCTTTTGATAATTTTTTTTTCAAGGACAGTAGAAAATTATTTTTTTTAATTAATATTTATTTTATAAAATTGTGGATTTATTACAGAAAATATTTTTAATATATAGTGCTAAGGACATAATTGTCTAGAACCTTAAAATATTAATATTTTCCATTATTTCCATTCTGTCATCAGTCCCATGTGATTTCCGTTGTCTTTGTTTTTTCTTTATCGCCTACAGTATTTTACCCACTGAATACCCTTAACTTTTGCCATTTCTCTGGCAACATCACTACACAATTTCACAGCATTTAGCATTTGTATATCTCCCCGGGCTGTCAAATCAAAGAGAAAATTCCCAAATACAGGGTTGTATTCTCACAGAATACTTTATATTTTAAAAAATGTTCACAAAATTATCGAGTGAAAAAAACACGAGTAGGGCAAGAGAAGTACAAGCCACAAGACAATTCCGAAAGAAAAGAAGAAGGAAAATCATGTAATTGCGCATTTAATCGCCTAAAAATTAAGATTATTCGCTATACAGATTATCGGTGGCATATTCTTTTAACTGGGGGACATAACGAAAACCCAAGGTTTGTTGATTTCCCATCTGAAAAACGGGCGCTATCTTGAACTCGGTCTCCAAAAGAAAAATATTACGGCGGCTGCTGCTGCAACAAAGTGGGCACACGAAACTTCTCTATTAAATCAATGAATGAAAAAGCAGACAGGCAAGAAGCAAAGACGAAAAAAATGAATTTAACGATGATGCAACTGAAAAGAAAATAGAAGAGAAAAATTTTATAGAAAAAGTGTGTGGTGCCGTTTTGTTGTTCGTGTGTGTGTCTGTCTGTTCAAATTTATAATTTAAGTTAAACAAATTGTTTGTGGTGCTGCTGTTGTGCCTGCTTCGACGACTCTGGCTGGTGACTGACTGTCCGAATGTTATGCGCTGTTTGGTATAGAGAAGAAATTTTGATAATAGAAAAAGAAAACGACTGCGACGACGAAAAGTAAATAATCATATCCAAAAACGCACTAATGTGGGCCAATTGATTTTCTCTAATGTTTGCAGGTCACACTTGCTGCAGAGCCAACCCAACAGTGTTTTCTTCGTGAGGTGAACAATATATACCAGGCATTCCATATGTCCGATTCGGAATATAGTGAATCCTTTGCCGGAGGAGGTGTTGCTGGTGGCCAGGATGACAATGAACGAAGGCAGCGGCATCAAATGCTAATGCAACAACATCAACAACAAATGCAACAGCAACACAATCTCGTCTATGGCAACAATTTTGAAATGGAATCCAGCAGCAGTAGTTCAGCCGGAGATTCCAGTGTCTCATCAACATCCTCCGATGATGACTCAGATGAAGAAAATGAATCCGATGATTCGTTAGAATTGGCAAAAATTACAAATGAGGTATTGAGTTTGCCGCGAGGTCTTTGTGAAAATCCTGCCATTTTCCAAGAATTTTTCTCCGTGGAAACTTGGCAGTCCCTGCCACCACATATGCAAAATCATCTTCAACAATTCCTGCCCAATTTCCATAAAGTTCTACCACCCCAAATGGCAGCTGTTGAACAGGCCCGATCCATTTCCATGTTATTTAGTGGAGAACTGACCGCATTTGGCCAATCGCCTATGGCTAATTTACAAAAACATTTAGAGGCTGGCAACTATCGTCCGGATATAAAAAAGCTACGAGAAAATATAAAAAAATCCCAAAGGCGGGAAAGTAAATTTCAAAACTGCGAACGTCTATCGTATATGGCCAAACAATTATTTGTCTCCCGGCAACGTTTGCTGGAGCATGCATATAAATCTTTGCCAGAATCTGTGACCAAAGCTCCCCTGCCCTCTACCTCGGTGTCGAGTATGCGTCAACCGAAACCCGGACATTTATATCATGATAATAAGCTGTCGGCGATTAGAGCCCGCAAACGTTTCTACAATGAAATCTCACAAATCGCCACAGAATTGCAACTCCAAGACGATTTTGTACTTAGTGCCGATGAAGAGAACGATATGGATAATAATCTTAATGAGGAATGGCGTAAAGATTTGATACAACAACAGCGGTCGCTGGAAGAAAATGCCGAACCGCCTAAGGCGAATATTGCATTGGCAGAGCGATGTGTATACAGTACGGTATTTCGAAAACGTTCCGAGCTAGATGATGAGGATGCGTTCCGTTTGCAACAGCGATCCCGTCAATCGAGGCTAACAAATCGTAATTTTAAAGAATATTTAAGGGAACACAAGCGAAGAAAGCTAACGGAACCGGTAAGGCTGCTAATTTTTAGAAGTATTTAAATTCTTTAATTAATTTCAATTTTTTTTATTTGTAGACATTACCCGAATTGGAAACCTCCGATATACGGCTAAGAGATGTTTGTGCCCGTGCCCAGATTGGTGGCAATTTCAAACGTGTACTGGGAGCAGGGAAACCAGGACGTAAACCAAAATCAGCCGCCAATACCATTCCATCTAACTCAAATCAATTGGGTGCTACTGAGAAAACGGAGAGCTCATTGGAAATAAATAGCAAGCCACTGCCCTCCTCATTGCCCGCAACACCAAATAATGCAGCCAACATGAACCAAACACAACCACAACCACCTACATCAACACCCCCAACATTATCATCATCACAAATTGCAACAAAACTTAGTGAACCACCTGCCCTTGTACCCATTCAACAGACTATTACAAAGAAAAATGTGGAAATATTTCAGAATTCGGGCGGCAATATGCCAACAGTATCACCAACTAAAACAGCAACAACCATACAACATTATCACCAACAACAACAGCAGCAACAACAACTGGAATCACCCTCCGCATTCACAAAGACCAGCAACAATCATCATTTACATAATACCACCAATGATTCACTGAATATGTCCTCATTTATGTCGGGACACAGTGATAATTTAAATCTGTGCATGGATGATACATCAATATTGGCCACCAGTGATCATGATGCCTTTAATATGTTAGATAATGAGGTGGAATTGCAACAGGAAGAGGTCGAAACATTTGCTGGTACCTCCGCTGGAGATGATAACCTTAGCAACTTTGTTATCGGCGATGATATTGTTTTGGGTGGCCACGGAAATGGTACTTCATCGATGTTACAAAGTTCTCATTCACATAAAAATGGCAATCGACAACAACAACAGCAACAACCATTACCAAAATTGGAACCAATTTCGATTAAACCCACAATCAAATCTCTAAACAATCAACAAAAATCCCTATCATCCCCATCACCAGGGTCACAACAACAAATGACAAATGTGTTATGTTCCAGTGAATTAATCCAGGAGACCCATGCCTCATATTTCTCATTGATACGTGACTTTTTCTGTTCCACACCAAATCATCGTATGCGTTATGATGATCTAAAATCAAAAATCGATATATGGTTAAGAAATCCCATAACTGCCCTTAACGAATGGTATGCCCATGCCGAAAATTGGTCGAATTTGCTAAGTTCTGCCATCAACTTTTTGGTTGGTGATTTTCCCGACTTACCCGAGGAATATGTACCCTATATAGAACATAAAATACAGCTGAATATCTATCAATGGATAGGGGCGGGGCGTGATTCCGATAATCGTCTCACCGAACTATGTAATGTTTGGATGGAGAAGCGGAAACATCCGCAGGAAAAACAAAAGTCCATCGAAGGCAAATTGGAAGTGTTGCCCAAATCGGTTGTGGAAAGTGATGAGACAACAGCAGAAGCTGCAGCAATGATACCACCACCGCCGCCACCAAGATTTCCCACAACATGGACAGTGCGGCCAGCAACTGCGGAAGAAATTCTTGAATTTCAACGGCAGGAAAGGGAACGTTTTGAGCAACCACACAAAGCCTACACTTATTATATGCATGGCTATGAGAGTGTCGTGGGTCCCGTCAAAGGGATTTACACCCCAATGTTGGCCTTGGCAAAGGCCCGAGGCCACAGTATGATGGTGGGCGATAGACCAAATTTTGTTACCATACTTACCCTGGTGCGAGATGCCACAGCTCGACTACCTAATGGAGAGGGTACACGAGCCGATATTTCCGAACTCTTAAAATGTTCACAATACATAAACCCCGATGCAGCGGAGAATGTGTTACAAACCATTGTCAGCGGTGCTTTGGATCGGATGCATACCGAACATGATCCCTGTGTACGATACGATCCTAAAAGGAAAATATGGATTTATTTACATCGTAATCGCACGGAAGAGGAATTTGAGAGGATACATCAGCAGAATCAGAGTATGGGTAAGGTCAAGAAATTGCAACAACGTAAACCAAGGCCAGTGGTGGCGACGGCACAAGGCACCAAATTAAATAGTCCCGAACAAGAAACAGCGGAAATAAATGGTGGAGGCAGTGGAGGTGGTGGAACGTTATTAACATTGCCCGCCTTGGTACCGGCCAATCCCATTATTGTTAGCAACCATAGCAGCAATCCTCCAAGGCAGCCAACAGCTTCGTTAACAGCACAACAAAAACATTTACAACAACAGCAACAAATTCAGCTCAGCAAGTGTCCCCCTGTA